TACTATAACGTGTTTTACGAAAGCCTTTGTGTCTAATCCCCTACCTCCTCTATTAAGTAAACTAATGTAACGAAACCTCTATAAGTCTTATAGTTTAAGACCTAGCGTTATAAGTAGCCCCTCTAATAGTGTAGTTACATACTAATAGGTTGTTTTTAGATATAAAAACACAACGAATGATTTAGTAGGTACTAGGTGTAACGCTAGGTCTTAAACTATAAGACTTATAAAGGTTTCGTTACATTAGTTTACTTAATAGAGGAGGTAGAGGATTAGACATAAAGGCTTTTATAAAACATGTTATAGTATATAACAAATACTATATTAAGTTAAGCATAAAGCTCCTATCTAAGAACTAACTATCTACTTATATAGTAGCGTTATACTAAAGGGAATAGTTAGAATAGCAAACTCCTTTGCTATTCTTACTATTCCTACTATTCTATTATGTAGGGTTCTTATAAGGAGGTGCCTATGAATAGTCTAGTACCTACTGTGTCTAGTACCTTATAATAGTTAGGTACCTAGAAAGAGTTAGGTGCCTACTCTATCTAGTACCTAGCAATTCTTAGGTGCCTAGGAATTCTCTAGTACCTATAGAAGCAAGTGCCTAAGAAAACTCTGTTACCTAATGTTAACCCTGCCTTAAGGGTAGTTAACTTACTAACATGTTTATAGCTACTATACTTAGGGTGTTAGCAATAGTGCTGCTAAAAGCCCTAGCTGTAACAATTAGATTCTAACTTTAAAAAGACATTAGAATAGTTATAGTGCATATATAGAAGCTTGTCCTAAATAAGGTAGAGCGTTTCCTTATCCTTAGCTGCTTCCCTCTCCTAGATAATCTAGTTAATCTCATAGATACTTATTATAAAGAACTTAGAGTTACTTTATATTATCTTATAATAGAAAGCGTTTGCGCTAATCTTGTAAATTTAGACTAGTGTGAAGCTATGTAACATTGTCTAGCGTTAGGAGAGAGAGACGACTCTGCTCCTCCTATGGTTTTTTCTCTTATATGTAGATAGTCCGTTTCTTAGAGGATTTGCCTCTACTTACCCTAAGGGTCTGTCTTTATAGGTTTCTATAGGTAAGGCCTATAGCCTTAGGGTTTTAGGGTGTAGGTAGGTTAATCTATTATCTTATACTATACTTAGTAAGGTGACTATAATAGCGTTATAATGGGCTGTTATTACTTTCATTTATATTAAGCGTCTACCCTTATGTTGTCTATTGTTGTAATTAATAGCATTATCCTGCTAGTTTATATCTAATTAATGGGTAAGGTAACGTATAGATAGTTTACGTAAGTATATTAAGAACTATGTTATATAACATTAGAATAGCTTACCTAGCTTAATTAATAATGTACTAAGCTAGCTTATAAAGGGAGCTTAGGTTATGATGCATTCTGCTATTCTACTAAAGGTAGAAGTTAAGGCTCTATAAGCTGCAAATGAATAGAAGAAGAGGAGGGAAAGGAAGCGTAAGAGGTATATAATGTAAGGGGGAAGCCTCTCCGTACAAGAGGGAGAGGATATACTTTAGAGTGCTAAGGTAGATGCTCAAGTCTGTATGGAGGTAGCAAGTGAGACCATTTAGTAGGTGGGTTCTACAGGCCGACAGCAGCACTATAGAGTATGTGGCACTAAAGGGCATAACGCCTGTACGTGCGAGAAGCGCTAGGAATTGATTACGATCGAATAAGGGTTATTATATAGGGTAGTGGTGTAGTAGTAGTAGTAATAGTCAAATTTTGGTGTTTTGGTGACCAGCTCGCCCAAGTAACCAGCTCGCCCGTGAAATACGTTATAGTAGTAATTTATAGTAATTTATATATGTACCTTTTCATACAATTTACTATGTAAAGGTACTTACAATATTTGGTGGTCGGTTCCGACCACGATTACTCCTGTAGGGGCTTGTGAAACCAGTTCCCTCGAGCATCATCGAGAGACAGGTGTCCAATGCTCTATCGTTCTGTGTACGTGACAACAACAGCCCGCCGAGCATCAAAGAGAGATAGGTGTCATTGGTTAGTGAAAATCAAGCCTCTGGGCCTTTTGAGAAAGATAAATGGTAATCAATTCTTCCCTATAGACCAATTGGATGCTGATGGCGGTGAATGAATAGCCGCCGAAACCCAAACCCAAACCCAAGCCGAAGAGGGTTGTAGTTTGGCTGTGGATATGTGTAGGCTGCCAACATCAATTGAGGAGTGCATGACGGCTAAAAATACCCCAGTGCCAGTGTAATTCATCTGGGATGACGCTCTCGATCGAGAGCTGCCCGGGTTGCGGCCATACACGCTGTACGTCCTGTGCTGTCGAGAAGAGAACACGATAATATCGCCGACGCTCTCTGCACCAAATGCGAAAGCTTCTGCTCCTGCCAAACCGAAACCCCACTGCTTCGCGTCAACTACCAATTGCAGTCGAAAAGTCGGATAATTAAACTTTGAATGCAGGGATACCACAAAGTGAGGACGTCGGAGGTTGGTGGGAGGATTGAGAAGGAGGGAGCGAAAAGCTTTCGCGCCTGGTGCAGAGAGCGTTGGAGATATTATCGTGTTCTTCTCGGCAGCACAGGACATGCAGCGTGTATGGAATTGTGTTGGAGGGTGTTGAGGTACGGTGCTGGGTTGCTTATTGAGGCGAGGGGGGGGCGGGTCGGAGGCGGCATTTGGGGAAGGTGGTTCGGATGAGGGCTGGCGCATCTGGTCGTGGTATTTTGGCGGGTTTGCGTTGTGGTGAGAGCTGTTTTTGTTTGCGGTGGACTGTTTTGGCTGTGAGGTACCGCGCGGGTTGGAAGGGGCCTGGCCTGTAAGCGGCCGCTGGTGTTGGTCTGTTGGTAGTGTGACTGGCCAAACAGGGGTGGGAATTCGGGCTGGGCGGCCTAAAGTCCTTCCCGGGTAGGAGGGGTATTCCTGGTGTGTACGGGGAGGTGGAATGCATTGAAAAATGGGGCAACGCTTGACATTAGGTGTTCGGATATGACAAACGGGACTCGACGGTTGTAATTCTGCTTATACCATATGATTCAGCCAAAATCGATTGCAGAGTCTATTGAAATCCACATACATAGGTTGGTAATTCCTGAATTAACATCAAGTCTGAATTGAACAGTACAGCCAGCACATTACTCATGGACTAATAGGAGTAATCCCAAGCAGCTTCAAACCATTTTCCAACACCTGTCGAATGTTTTCATACATAACCACTCGAGCTAGATGCTTCAACCCAGCAGAGGAGCTTTCCCCCTCACCCTCAACTCTCTCAAACTCATCAATAGCAAGACAAGCACTTAGCTCATCGATAACTAGGAACATATAAAGAATAATTATGCCCGGGTCCAATTTTTCGAAAGCGAATTGGGTCGCGACTGGATACCTGGCTATCAGTCGGAGTACATCAGAATAAGGGGGTTGCGAGAGTGAGGTGTAGTCGAGATCGGGAATTTCATCTGGACCTGGGTACGGCCCAACGCTGGCAATTTCAGAGCAGAGCTTTGCATAGCACAGTTGTAGATTTGTGCCTGTCTCGCCTGTTGGAGAGGTAAGGAGATTGAAGTCAAGATCGTTGCTGTCGCCCTTCTTCAGAGAGAGCTGATGGAGAACTAGGGAATTTATTGCCATCGCTTTTGCAACTGCATCGTGATCTTCAATCTGATACTCATCCGGGTTCGCAGTCATTGCATCACGCATATGATTTTCGCATTGATCGAGGATGTCACCTAGCAGTTGGGTACTTCCAGGTTGAGCTACAGGACTATTAGCTCTGGTAAAGGTGACATGTTGCAGCTTGTTCGCGACATCTCCACGACCCATGATCTCAACGGCTTTGAAAACTTGTCGAAAATGCACGTCTTGTTCGCAAACAACGTATACCATCTTGTCGAACTCGTGGGTTTTGAGTCGGTCGAAGACTGTCGCAATGTCTCTGAGCAGGTACGTCGTGGAGCCGTTTCTATCTCGAATGGCTGCAGTACCTAGCTTCGCACCGTGCTTGTCGAAGTCAATAACCCATGCCCCATCCTTCTCTTCCCAAACATCATTCTTTTTCAACATCGACTCGACCTGGGCAATTGCTTCTGAATCAAGACTAACTCGGGATTCGCCAGAATATTCATCAAACTTGATATTGAGTTTTGCATAGGTCTCGATGTAATACTCGATAGTGATAGCTCGGAGCTTCTCGCACAAGGCCATCGCTGCTGGCTCGCCGTCTTCCATTTGCTTAAAGGTCGCGTCCCGTTCTGCGAATAGGCCCTGGCTTTCAAGAACCGATGTATCCTGGCCATCTTGTCGAGCCTTCTTTCTCGCATCCTGCTCTGGCTGAAGCTCCTCTTCCATCTTAGCATACAAGTCGTGTATATATCTAAACAGATCTGTCTGCTCATTGACAATCTCTTCCGAGCCATGCTTCTGCCAGCCCACTCCGAGCAGACCGAGATTCTTTCCCCAATCTCCTAAGTAGTTAACCCTAACCACAGAATAGCCCATTGCTTCATGTATGTTGGATACATAAGCACCAAGGATCGAGCTTCTCAAGTGGTCTATGGTGAACTCCCTTGCAATATTCGGCCGTGCGAACTCGACGATGACCTTTTTACTTTTAGATTCGGCTTGGTCTTGTAGTCCAAGAGCTGGAAAGTTGCCATAAGTGGCCTTCCGGTCGTTGACATAGGGGAGAAGGAGTCGCGGAGTATTTTTGGTGGAGAAAAGGACTCGAATGTGGACGCCATCTTTGAAAGGGGCAGCAAAGAGGGGATGAGGTAGAAACTATCAAAGAGTTACGTTAGATTTTGGACCGCCACCTCAATTAAAATAAAGGAATTTACCAACTTTTTTGAGAAGCTCGCCTGCGAGCTCTTTGGGCTTTACGCCAGCTAGTTTTAGCTTCGGCAAAACGATATCTAAGTCTCCATCTTCAATTGTCTTTGAAAGTTGAATAGAATGGTAGACGACATCTGGGTCGCACTCGACAAGCGTCTGCAAGCGCTCTGCGAGATATGAATGGTAGATATCAATAGGATTATTCAAAGCATCTGCTGTTGCAAAAGTCGGGAGTGGATCGAGCCCGATTTGCGCTACAAAGGTTTGAAGGCCAGGGAGTGAAGAGGTTGCCATTAGAACCATCTAGGTGAGGCTTGGGTTTACATTGAAAGGGCTGAGGTAAAGAAGGCCGTGTTTGAGCTGGAGTTTGTTTTCTACTCGTGAGAATATAGAGGCTGCTTAGGTCGCTCGGTTCGGTCATGCGATGGTTTACGGTGCGTTGGCACATTATTGTCGATGACGCTGGTTGGGTCGTTGGGCATGAATGCAAGGCGAACCACATAACCGATTTATATAGTGCTTCGTACACCGAGCAATAATTCTGCGTTGGATATGAGGCGGTTTGAGCACCGAATAATCCTAGTTTCCGCAGATGAGCGAACTGTTCATGTGGTTGGGTGAGCTGCCAAAGCCCGAAAGCACAGCCAACGTTGCCTGTATCAATGCCAAAACCCTCGAGGCTTTTTAGAGAGTGCATTATGTGTGCGCAGAACAGAGAAAAATGACCAATATAGATAATTTCCAGGGCATTCAATTCGCAAGTAGTAAATAGCCAAAAGCAACTTTGTCGAAAGCTTACCCTACTTTCGCCTTCTATGGCCCCTTCTCAATGTCCCACGACTCAGCGTCGCTGGAAATCCTGTTTCCATTCAGTAGTTCATTGAAAGAACTAACTGCGCTTTGCATATAGTCAACCCCTCGCTGTAAGCAGTATCGCCAGTGGTATAAGACTAGGAGCATCGCCACCATTGTGCCCGTGACGACAACCAACACATATATGAACTTCCCCAGGCCCGGGGAAGGTAGCACTCCCGTGGCGCTGAACAGGGCCGAGGTAATAAGTAGAGGAGAGAATACCTATGAATTGGAAAAACATATGGTTAGACATGCTGCCCAAATACGATACTTTCCAGGGGAACTTGCTATGGCGAGAACAGTGAGGTCCTGGAGCTGCCTGGCAGCGGCGCGTCCATCGAGACTCAGATAAGCATTGAGCTGTTACGTTTATTAGCCCTCTATATGCAGAGTTTTGGAGATGACTTACACCCTCCCTACGGTCGCACAGTTCTTTCTTCAATTGCTCTAACTTCCGTAGACCCGGCATTAATTTCGAAAACTCTTTATCAATAGCGTTCAATGAGGCTTCGAGGGATGGTTCGGCAGTTGAAACCTCATCAAAAAGAAAATAGTTGGCCTCTGTTGTCCGGAATCCTTCCCATGCTTGAATGGTCTCAGAAAGACCACCGATCAGTTGCGTTGAAAGAGCTGCCATTTGACTGTTCCGCCGTTCTAGAAACTCTAACTTTTGAGCTGTAATCTTAGACGAGCTGTATACCAGATCTCTGGACCTGTTTGTGAGTAAGTCAATTAGCCTTCAGCACCCGAAATCACAGTAAAGCATGAAATTAGAAAATGGAGAACAGAGCCCATGGTCGCCACTAATCCACAGTGAAAATCCACACCAAGACAGCGTCTACACACAATACGTACCCTTCTACCTCTTCCGTAACCGTGCGGACTATCCGGTTCCATTCCTTCAGAACCTCTCGTATGCGGCTTTGAGCCACTCTCAAGAAGTATTCTCTAGGCGTCCATATGGGCTCACCACCGTTCAGCCGCCCAGCCGCAAGAGGGTCTTCTCGTTCCCAGTGTCGTCCCTTCAATTTATCGTAGTCTTCCACTGTCCCCTTGGACCCAAAATAAGTATCGACAAATCCATAGGCAGTCCACACCCAATTGTTAACCCCCGTTACAACAATTGAAATCTGGGCCTCATGTAGCCAGTAGTGCTGATCTGTTGGGTTTGAACCTTTCGATGCATCTAGAGACCTGGACAGGAAGTCTAATTTCCGTGACTGTCTTAAGGGACTGCCATCAGATTTCCTTCGAGCATCTCTGCTTGCCGTTTTGCTTTTTCCTAATACATAGTATGGCATATGTAACTCGAGAGTAAAGACGGGGAACCCGTTTGACTACCACGTGAAAATTAGTATAAGTCATAGTGATATCTGGAATGGACGTTTGATCTGAAAGTACTTACTATAGTAACACCTATAGATGCTTTACGCGTCAGGTACTTGTGAAAAAGATCCCTTAAAGCCGGGGCTTGGGTGCGTGATGCCGTTTTTATAATGGCCTGAATTGTGAATGAGTCCAAATCAGAGATGAAACTAGACAGATTAGCCACATTATATAAGATAGAACACATCAGCCCTAGGACTTACACTATTCTCCTCTCCGCGTCAATTTCCTCATCATCGAATGCGTTAGTCGAGTCAGACTCAACTCGAAGGCGCTGTGCAGTTTGAATCAGTTATCATGAGTTCTTATACTAGCATGAGATTTGAATTACCTTTCTGCTCAACTTGTCGAATAACTGTTCCAAGGTCAAAGGCTCTAAGTTTGTCCTGCAGTATCCTCCCTTGTCGATGATAGTACCGGCAATGTTTCTTTCGTCCAGAATTGCCACATGTTTTTCACGTGCTCGAAAGGGCCCATCAGATCCTCCTTCACAAAATTTCGCCACCTCATCAACCATATCGTAATCATCCAGGAAATCCTCATCCCTTTCCATCCCTCTCATAAAGCGTCTGACATCGCTTATCTGATTGCTAGCATCGGCGGCTTTAGACTGCTCGTTGACGTCATCCTCCGGCGCATTTGAAGACCCATCATCCTCACACGATGCGCCATCTTCCTCTTCAGCTTCAACTTCATTCCCCTCCTCCTCCTCATCCTCCTCGTCCGAAACCCCTTCGCCGAGATACTGTTCGATTTGAAGATATTCGAGGTATGTTTGATTTTCGCTGTTGGGATTAAACGGTTGGCGTTTTGTGAACCGCTTGGGCCAATAACGTCGCAAAGACTGATGAGAAAATTCCCTGCGTGTTTCGAATTCGGTTGACATTTGTTCTCGCTGTCAGTTACCCAGTAGGGTTACCAGTACCTATCCTATATAAAACCATTGTCCACAAGCCGGTTCTAAGTCATCCGATACATTGAGGTTCTTGGGAATTAATTCACATTTTGGGAATAGGCAGCACATCTGCTCTTAATAATGAAGGAATTATATAACATGCCAAAGTGTTCCGGTGAGCAAAGTACACACAGTACTTGGTCGCCTTGAGTGTAAGATACCGGGGTGGCCCGAAAGGCTAGCAGAACGGCCCAACCTAACGACCCGATACAAATAAGGCAAAGAAAACCGGGAGGAGTACCCAACACGCCGACTATCATATTCTGCTAATTGGTCTACCATTATTGCAATCCATCATGACTTGATTTCAACGACGATATGGGACAAAAGCCAGCCCCGCCTCAAGCCTGCAGATTAACAAGTTGACTACGAGAAGGTCTCTTGACCCGACACTTAACGAGGCTCTGCAAATGCAGTTTAATGCAACCAAGGAGGCAGTGCAATTGAAGGATTAAAGTTAATATGTAATAACGTGGCACTCTCCTTACCATCAATTTCGACCAAGATATCGAAAACAAGCGACAACAAGTGAAAGTATGTATTATTTTAGTGGTGGGGGCGGGGGAAGGGGGGGGGGTGACAATGCACGGCTTCCTGCATATGGTGGAATATCTCGATGAAAATCTAACATGCATGATGAGCTGCAGGCCAATGTTTTCCAACTCATTGGGTTGGCGGGTGTGACGTCGACGATGATTAATCTTGAGTTCTCTGGGGATTAGTTTACTAGATTCGGCCTTGTGACACTGCGTAGACTCACACTTTGTTGTACGTGATACATAAGGCAAATACATGAAGTCCGTCCAATAGTCACAAAATGCGGGTGGCATTCTCTCCCATGTAAGGACAAGATTTATTGAGCAGTAGCAACAGACATTCCTACGAGGCTGTACTAGGCTTACCTGTACTAGGCTTAGCTAATGACAAGCGCTACCACCCAGAATAAGCATTTTATTTTGTGGTATCATCAGATGCTAAGCAGAGGCAAAAATAATTGTTGAAGCAATTAGTGCGACTTGAAAGCCAGTATCAAAACTAAATTTTTATACTTGAGATGTTTAAAGTTATAGTATATTTAAAATTCAGTAGATATGTATGTGTGATATTACATAGACTCTAAGTTAACGAGCAAGCAATGTACCTCGGGATTCCGAATCTTGGAGGTTATCGCATAGAGTAATAAACACCCCCTTAGGGACCAGTGATACACAGAGAAACCTTGGCAGGGATAATCTACTCATCGCCGTACTCCACAACGTCTCCACGAGCAGTAACACCAACTGTGCGCTTTTCCAGGGACGTCTTAACGGGGCTATCCGAGTCAAAGATGATATCGAGTTCCTCTAAAGTTCGGTTCTTCGTCTCCGGAATAAAGAAATAGGTGATAACCGCCTGGCAAAAGCACCAGATGCAGAAAATGATGAAAGACTTCCATGCAATTCGCTTGAGGACAACGAGCCAGACGTAGTTGTTATAAATCGACACGACATTCATAACGAGCGAGCCGAACGCCATACCCTTAGCGCGCATCTCGAAGGACAGCACTTCGACTGGATAAAGAGCTTGTAGTGGCGTGAAACCGATGGAGTACGCGGCTCCGAAGATGAACTGGAAGGCGAGGGTGGCAGTCCCGGCGGCGACATTGGTCTGTCCTGACGAGGCGAAGATCAAGGCGGCTATGCACATAGAGGCCCAGGTTACGCAGCAAGCGAGGTTAGAGAACATGAGCAATGGCCGGCGGCCGATTTTGTCGACAAGCGTGGCGCCGATGAGCGCAAAGAAGAATTGTTGGCACACGCGTTACCGAGAGTAAGGTTGTGTTGCGTGAATTCGTCTGTGATACCGGCTGTTTCGAACGCAGCGGCTTGGAAATAGGAGAGGACGGCTGTTATGAGTTATCGTCAGTATGTATATATTGCGGAGGTTCTAGACAGACTCACAGTTGCCAGCTTCTTGGCCCATGGCTTGGATAGCACAGTTACAGAATAGGCGGTTCCAGGTATTTTTGTTCTTGAATAGCGCACGGTAATCCCACCAGCGTTTGTCGGAGCCGTCTAATTCAAGATACTCCTCATACTCCTGCATTTGAAAAGTTACCCACACGCTATCGGGGTTGCCCTCTCCGTGGAATCGAGTGAGCATAGCCCGTGCTTGTTCAGATTTGCCGTTGACATGGAGCCATCTTGGAGACTCGGGGAGGAATAAAGCCCCCAAGCATACCAGTCCTGGGAAAGCAATTTGGAACCAGAGAGTAGTCATCCATGATTGGTGGCCTGGCAGGGAATGCGTAGCACGGGTGACACCGCTGGCTAAGATTGACCCAGTGAACCTGTGGAATTATATGAGCCTCTGTACCACTCTGATCACGAAATGATAATGGAAAACCTACCACCAGGTGTTATAAAAGGCACCGACAATACCACGATATGCCGGATGGGAGACGTCGACGACATACATGGGCCCAGCAGCACAAGCAATGGGAACGCCCCACCCAACAAGGAAACGACCACCCTCAAATTGACCCACACTAGAGCGGTTAATAGCCGTCCTCATAATCACTGTTCCTAACACGACACTCGCTGAACCGATGAGCATGCCGACTCCGCGTCCCCAAGTATCGATAGCAGGGCCGATAAATGGGAGAGCACAAACACCACCGATGGTGTACATATTCGTGGCGATTCCAGCCCAGATGCCAGAACTAGCTCATTATATGCTTTAAGGAAGTCTTTACTCTCTAGAAGAGAGTTTAGAAGAGATCCGTCATAACTGTTCATGGTGGAGCAGAAAAACCCCACGATGCAACACAGATAGAGATAAATAGAACTGGCGCTTTGGGGCTTTGGCGGCTCCCTGATAAGAGCCTGCGGGAAAGCCTCATTTCCGCTCACAACAATGGTTCGGGCCGGCTGCTACTCGCTTTGCTATAGGAAGTAAAATGGTCAGCATTAACACATGGTGTTATTTCGAGAATAGGCACTTACTGTAACGCTGACTACTACACGATAGTAGACACAGAGGTTCTCTTGCGTAAGGGTTTACTTATCAGAGGAGGCAGGGGATCAGACTCAAAGTAGTGAAGCAGACAAGACTTGCTGGGCCCTATAACGGGTGGATTGTAGGTAATTAGCGAGATGGCTGGGGGCCGTACAGTGGGTCGATTATGAGAAAGATGGAATGGTTAACAAAGATGTAATGGCGCGATCGACAACGTGGAAGTCGAAGCACGGGTAGGCGAAGCACGATGTTCGAAAAGACACAAGTGAACCCAAGCCGGCATCACTTTCTTCCGCAGCACTGGTAAAATTCTCGTTGATAACTGGGTAACGTTATACAAAACCTAAGACGCAGGTCACTTGCATCTAGCAATAATCAAACACAAATACTAATGCTCAAATCCATAACCCATAATCCCATTCAAGTCCCGGAAATTGCCCCTCAAACAACGAACGCCTTCTTTGCGTACCTTCTCTACCAGGGCCTTGACCTTCGGTGCAATCACCTTCCCATCAAATCCAAAATGTTCGTACGCAGTGCCACCAGGCAAACTCTTGCCGAAGCTGCTCATGCTAACGCCTGCGTCGGCGTACCTCTCCCAGCCGTTTATTGCAAAGGCCTCAATCACCACGATTGGTCGATCGGCACGATATTGCAATACTTCCTGCTGATATTCGCGTGATTGTTGATCGAACAAGCGTTGACATGGGAAGCTGACAATGCGAGCTTTGATACCATATTCTTTTGCGAGAATATCGCGCGTTTCAACCGCGAAAACCATCTCGGCGCCGACACCAATGAGGGTAACCTCTGCACCGGTCTGCTCGGAAAAGACATAAGCACCAAGTTGGACGCCGTCTCTAGAGGTGTGTGCTGGGTACTGAGGGAGATTCTGACGAGAGAGTGAGATTATTGATGGTGTAGAGGTGGCGTTGAGAGCAGCTATGAAGGCGCCTGCTACCTCTTCAGTATCACAGGGGCGAATATATAGAAGGTTAGGCATGGACCGGTATAAGGAGGGAAGAGCAATAGGCTGATGCGTTGGACCATCCTCTCCCGTGCCAATACTATCATGTGTTGCAATATGAATCTGGTGCAATCCTTGCAAGGCACCCATGCGAATTCCTGCGGCGGCGTAAATGTAGAAGATGAAGAATGTTGAGGTAATAGGAAGTATAGTACCCCTGTTGAAGGCAGCAAGGCCATTCGAAATAGACGCCATCGCGTGCTCACGGATTCCCCAGTGGATATAGCGACCACTGTAATCGCCATTAATTCCACAAGCAGTCTTGAGCTCGGGCTAGGAACTGTTAGAGACTTTCATGACTGAGCATAGAAGGATATAAACTTACATTTTGAAAATCTACTTTATCTTTCCAGATCATATTTACTGACGGAGACAAGTCTGCAGTCCCAACCATGAAGTTCTTCAAGTTTTGTGCTAGAGGATTGCACACGATACCAGCAGACTTCCTGGAAGGGGTGGGTCCGGTTGGAAAGCTCTCTTTTGATGGAATATATTTGGACCAGTCGTCCAGCATTTTGCCACGAACTCGCAGGTTAAACTCTCGTGCCAACTGAGGGTGGCTCTTAGCGTATGAGGCGACCAAAGAATTCCAGTTTGCTTCATATCTCGCTCCTCTGGAGCGAACTTCGTGGAAATATTCATAGACAGTGTCTGGAATTACAAAGTGTGCCTCGGGATCCATGCCAAAGCTCTTTTTCATATTCGCAACTGCCTCGGATCCAAAAGCTGCACCATGAGCTTTTGCGTTGTTAGCTACCGCACTTCCGACACCAATAATAGTGCGGACATTGACGAATGTTGGTTTATCACTTGCGCGGGACGTAATGAGTGCCTCAAGTATGCCATTGACGTCGAACACGCCATCAAAGACATCTATCACATTCCAGCCAGACGCTCGCATCTTTCCATTCACATCCTCAGTGTTTGCTAGATCAACGGAGCCGTCACAGGTGATCTGATTGTTGTCGTAAATAATAGCAAGGTTATTCAGCTTCCAGTGGCCGGCAAGAGAAATTGCTTCTAAAGCAACACCTTCCTGGAGGCAAGCGTCCCCTATCATGCACCAAGTCATGTTGTCAACGACAGGAAAGCCTGGTTGATTATAGATAGCTGCAAGGTGCTTGCTTGCCATAGCCAGACCAACTGCATTTGCGACACCTTGACCAAGGGGACCAGTCGTAACCTCAATACCTTCGTGCTCGATCTCGGGATGACCAGGGCAAAGAGAATCAACTCTTTTCGAGTGATATGACTTTAATTGATCTAAAGTCATATTGTCATATCCGACTAGGTGCATAAAAGTATACTGAAAGAGGCATGTATGTCCTAAAGAAGAATGTCAGAAATTCAAATACTAAAACTACTATTCAGACGGGAGGCGTACCATTAGATAGGACAAAACGATCTCTGTTGAAGTATGAGGGATTGCGAGGTGAGAATCGCATCACGTATTTCCAAAGGGCGACTCCAATTGCTGCCATGCCCATGGCACCTCTACATTACATTAGTGAAAATAAGATCACAACACAACAATAGGGGTCGTACCCAGGATGTCCACCTTTGAATTGCTCGCAAAGATCGGCGATAAGACATCTAAATACCTTTAATACCAAATCATTTTTGTCACCATCTTCATTCTTGATCGAATTAACACTGTACGGGTTCAGGGTCGGTTTCGGGTCAATATCTAAGACCTCGAGTGAAGGAGTCATTTTAAACGTAGGCAGGTATATATGAGCTTGAAAAGTGTCTGACAGATATAAAGTTCAGTGCACATTGCAATACATATATACCAGTTGTTTCTACTCATGTCACGTGACGTTCTCTGTATGAATCCGGCGCTTAGAATTTCCTTTTAGGGTAATCCGATAATGGTGTTGAAATAGATTGGTCCATTTTGAAAGGTTAGGCGTTCCCATTGGTGTTCTAGGCAAATAGGCGCTAGCTGAAGCGGCTAGGAACTCCGATTCGGGAATTGTCAAGCGCAGGAGAAAACGGCGAAGCCCAGAATCTCGATTTTAGCAGATTAGACTTTGTGATGAGGTCTCCAGAGGTCGTACTTCGGGTATGCAAAAGATTTTCAAACGACACTGTTAACATATATCAATTCAAGAATTCTTTTAATTTGAACCTTGCCAACTTGCTAAACCTACGCATCTATCTTCTCCCTTCGACAGATATTGAACCGCAAACAATGTCAGCCCTGTCGGATTCTGGAATAAACCCTTACCAAATGCCCGACAATGCCATGTCCTCGGGGCTAAATATTTCATCTCGCGGCCCAGAAACCAACGTTCATTCTCACGTGCCTCGAGGATGTGTTGAAATCTGCGGAGACTCTAACCATGGACGAAAAGACGTACCGCTGGTTCGTGGATTAATCACAACTGGGAACCTCAAACGTAAAAGATCAACTGAAAATCCATCCGCCTCATGCCCACCTACCTCAAGTATTCAGAACAATGCGAACCTCCTGTCTCCGACCGAAATAGAAAGATCCGTGGATGCAAAGTTGGTAATTGTTATGGTTGGGTTGCCTGCGCGGGGCAAAAGCTACGTGACCAATAAGGTTTGTAGATACCTGAATTGGCTACAGCACGAAACAAAGATATTTAATGTTGGCAATCGGCGCCGAAAAGTCGGAGGTAGGCAACTTGATTTATCGGCTGCCCCGTGCTTGATGTCCACAGAGGCGTACCAAGCCTCGTTAGACCATGGCACCCACTCAGCGGGGTTCTTTAACCCTGACAACCTTCAGGCTCGCAAACTTCGGGAACAAATTGCTATGGAAACTTTAGACGAGTCGCTTGATTATCTGTTGAACGAAGGGGGTTCTGTTGCAATTTTCGATGCGACCAACAGCACAATTGAGCGAAGGAGAAAGATCATTGCGAGGGTACAAGAGAGGGGACGGTCAAATTTGCAGGTATTATTCTTGGAAAGCCAGTGTTTTGATGAAGCTGTACGTATATTAGCGATCAATTTCAGTCTATAATGCAAAGCTGATTTAACCTACTAGCTTCTGCAATCGAACATGCTACTCAAGATGTCGAACCCAGATTACAGAGATCAAGATCCTGTCAAAGCCTTAGAAGATTTTCGGAGACGTGTCGCAATGTACCAAAAGAAATACACCCCCGTAGGGAATATTGAAGAACGCCTAGGCGTCTCCTACTGCCAAATGATTGACGTTGGGAGGAAGTTCATCACACACAATATCAAAAGTTTTCTGGCGACACAGGTTGTTGGCTATCTCCAACACTTCAATCTTGCTGGTCGTCAAGTCTGGCTCACACGGCACGGCGAATCAAACGACAATCTTTCTGGCAAAGTCAGCCACGATCCTGGTCTCAGTCCACATGGCGTCAAATATGCCGCTGCATTATCCCGGTTTATTGACCAGGAACGGGACACATGGAACCGGCAACAAAAGAGACTAGAAGAAGCTGGCGATTCCTTGCGCCTATCCGCAGATAAATCGCCAAAAAGGTTTCACCTGTGGACCTCCATGACGCAGCGGAGTATTCAGACCGCAAAATTCTTTGACAGTGCACGATATCGAATCGAGCATATGCGTATGCTTGACGACTTGAGCGCCGGGATACTTAGTGGACTTTCAGATGCTGAGGTCAAGCAACGGGCCTCTGACACACAGCTGAACCATACTTCAACAGGATATCCTGGTACTCGATGCGAGGGGTATAGTGATGTGACAAAACGGCTTCGATCTATCATCCTCGAGCTGGAGCGTGTGACAGGACACGTCCTATTTATCGGAGGATCGGCTGTCATTCGCGTTCTACTAGCCTACTGTAGAGGGATGCAAAGCTATGTTTCTGCGAACGTTGATATTCCACTGGGTACAGTGTATCTGCTTGAGCCCGTAGGTGCAACATAAGTCAGTAAAGTTGAAGCAGCTGACACGAGACTAGAAACCCTATGGTGCCGACTACAAGGAGTTTGATTACAACCCGGAAACGGACTCCTTCCATCAAAAGCGCGATCGTGAAGGATAAGGTGGTATCAATCTCTGGGGACGGAATCTCCTGGCATATTGAATCGACGCTGTGTAGCCGTAAATGTGATTATTAATAATAATATAATTTTTTTGCCGAGCTGTTCCGGAATGTGCAGAGTCCAAATAACTCCTAGCGGAGGTCCCGGGGAGAGCATAAATCGTCGAAACAGATGGGGCATTGCAAACAAGAAAGATCGACATCGGGTGGCTGGAAATAATGGGGGGCCAAGCCATGGCTATGTTTCCAGATGCGATGTCATGTCACATAGCCTCTTGGTGGGCAAGGGTAGTTGAAAAGTGCGTTTGCGAGGGACTATCATTCTTCCACATCCCCCCAATATTCCTTCAGGTCCTCGGCACGCCATGAAGTTGCCCATCCTGTCTCTTTCTCGATACGAGCCAGAACGTCAAGGATTACTCGGTGCTCGATGGGATGAGACATAATCTTCCCAGCAATAAATAGTGGCTGCAATGCGTTGATCCATGCTCCATGGCTATGATTTGAGGTAGCAATACCGCAGATCTGACGAGCATGCCATTGTACAGATTTGTGGCCTCTGGTTAAACGAATTTCCTTTGGCTTTTCTTGAAGCATGAGAACAGATGATGCATGGTAGAGCTGATTACCATTGACTGCAGGCGAGGTCCCATAAAGTACAATTGGAAAAGGATGATAGTGATCGTCTAGAGTGGCTGTACTTGACATAAGAGGCCGCATTTCCTCGGGTCTACTGTTGTACCAGTCTTCTAATAGGTCATACAAAGCTTTCCACGGAGCAGATAACGATCCCCTGGAATTAGAAGTATGATCCCTTTGTCCTGCAGATGATGAGCCTCGATTGGAGAGTACGTTGACAACGCTGGCACAGAGAAATACAGCATAGTTAGCATAATTGTCGAAACCGCCTGGGCCAGTCTTAAAGCGGATTACAGCCGTCGACATTGACTGGCCAGGGATAAACCAGCGACTCGTCGGAATTTTGGTCAGCGTATCTGAGAGAAACCCGCCCCAGACATCCATTCTTGCAAAGCACCAAAACAATGCTTGACGGACTCCGCCAACGGTACCATCAATACCAGCTGCTTGGAGCAACATCGAACATCCGTTAAGATGTCTGTCCCAGGCCTTCGGGGAGGAACTCATCATCTCGAGAACACAGAGCAACACGCACGATGCAATGACAGCAGTGTCAAGAGAATGTAGTTCTTGAACAATCAGTTCGATCGCTTTCTGATATAGAGTCAAACTCTCGGTGGCTGGTTTTCCCGGATCCTTTCTTTCTGCCTGCCGTGCGGAAAGAGCAAGAATGGAGTAACGAAGATGTTCGGAAGATTTAGCCATCATCGGTATCCTAAGTTGGAAGTGTCTTTCCACATCGAACATATCAAGCCAGACAGCAACTTCGTCAAGGTAATTCTGCCAAAGCTCAAGCTCTCTTCGATCAGTCAGTTTCGTACCTTCAGGCAGTCTCTTGAGCGCACCCGCATCCATAAGGGAAGCTTGGCTAACATATTGAGTGGTTACTGGATCATTCCGTGCTCTGGAGGCGGCCTCAGAAGTGGCGTTGGGTGTACCTTGCCGTGTCATCATAGTAGTCCGTGCGGTCTGTACCATATAATTGTGGAGTACAGTGTGCAGTTCTTCGTATATAGTATTCGGATAGTAGGTAGAATAAATATGAGGCGAATCCGCTGATATGTGGTCCGTTGGCAAGACTTCACAATTTCCGTCGGGAGGCCATGGTAAACTTTCGATCTGGTTCATATTTGTTGAGAATAGTTCCGCATCGGTCGGGTTTGCAATAAGATAATCTAATGCCTCTAATTCGACGAGGTCAATGTCTAGTAGATATGGGTCACCGTTGGCATTGAATATACCAGCTGGTTCAAGTTCTTCCGTAGTGCTTACGAAAGCGTCTATTGTAGATGTGTGTGGGCTAGGCCTCGAAAGAGCTTGGTCTAGTAACGGAGCCGCAGTGCCACCAGTGGGAGCGGTATGCTGCTTGTAAACCCCATCGCGACTAAGTTCTGGCGGCGATCGATTAATTGAACCGACGGATCTTGTGTGATTAAGGGCGAGAATGGAGTGCGGCGAAGATTGGTCTGTTCGGTTTCTTGTTGAGATGACGCTATCATCGTTCACTTCATTCAAATCAGTAGCCCAGCCATCCGATCCCATAGTCGGACCGTGAATGTCTTGGCTGTTGTCGGGAGCTGATAGATTCACCTCGCCCCGCGGTTCATGCCGTATCCTTAGCCGTTGCTGCTTTGGAGCCAAAGACATGCTGACGTGTGGTTCTTCACTACTTGCACACCTCTCGTTGTTAAGCGGGTTGTTCGAGCAAGTAGTCCTTAATATTCTAGTCTCAAATCGAATGTCGTCGGTCTGCATTGAAGCTACCCAGTCAGCAATGCATGATTTTCGCCCCTTGTATCTGTGTGTTGGATAAGCACAGCACGACTTACTTGGCCTTCATTAGGCGGCCGCCTATTTCCCCCAAATCGTCTCATGGATGGAGGGCTAGCGTCAATGCCACGATTTCGAAATTTGATACCAGTGTCCCATTCGCAGCTCTCGCCACGCGAGGAGCATTTTGAACAGACCGGTTTCCTCTCGTCACCTGGATCACCAAGACTATCAGCAAGATGCAACCTTAACAGGTGGAACACTAACATTTCTTTCGCCGTTGTCTACAATTGAGACAACCATTTCGACCTCGGGTCCGTTTTGTAGTATGGTTATGATCTCTTGCCCTAAGTGGCGGTATGTGAGGATCGGGCTGCACCTTATCCTTCTGGACATCCAACTCTTCGGGAGCTCCATTACCTGGCATGTTGTATTATGCTCATGACTAACAACCAAGCTGTTGTATAGTTAACAGCTGGAGGAAAGTAGATTGTGCATCGTTTGGGGTCAGGGAGGTCCGTGCAAGAACTAAACATTGCGGGGTACAATTTTAGTTCTATGCCTGATATATCAGACAGATCAGAATATCAACATCGGATATTTCAGTTCCATGTCTTGAAGACAAGATTATACGACGAAGAGTCCGCAGCTCAGAAATAGCTGATGAATATTTCGGCGACTTGATGGACAGACGGATTGACAAACATTATATTTTTACATGTACTTCAATTCAACTTCACAACATATCATTCATTATGCCTCTAACTCAATTAGGTTGTAAGTAAAAGTAATTATGCTGATGCGCAATGTCCTCCGTCCACACGCAAATCAGCTCCTGTCATGAAAGACGAACCATCTGTAAGCAAGTAAATTGCAGGAGCCTTGAAATCCTCTGGAGCACCAAGTCGTCCGAGAAGTGCACCAGCCATCCAGAGCTTCTCAATTTCTGGCTTCTCTGCAAGCAGCTGATCGGTCATGGATGTACGGATATATCCCGGGGACAGTGTGTTCACTCTGATGCCATACTGTCCCCATTCTACAGCAAGCGACCTGCTCATTTGTTGCACTGCAGCTTTGGATGTGTTATAAGCCGAGCAATGGATGCCCTGATTGAGTGAGTTAGCAATTGTGAGTATGAGCCGATCGAGGAAGATTTTTTCACATACTCTGTTGGCTATTTGTCCAGACATAGAAGCAATGAAGACAATGCTGCCAGAGTTACCCTCATCCCATAGGATTCGTGCAGTATGCTTTGCGATCAAGAAGCTTCCAGTGACATTGACCTCGAGGATCCGTCTAAAACCATCCAAAGGGTAATCAATCGCATCCAGCATTTGCTGAATGCCGGCACACGAAATGAGCCCGCGTATTGGGTTTCCCCTCTTCGAAGCAGCTTTTGCGGCCTCCGTCAAAGTTGCTGTCACAGCATCTTCGTCGGTGATATCGCACTGATGGTAGCTGCAATATGTACCGGAAGTTTTCTGGGTCTGCTCAATTCGAGTCCACTCGTCTTTGCTTGGAGCTGGCAGAATATCGAGGCATATAACGTCGCCACCAGATTCGAGAATTGCTTCAGCGAGCACGATGCCTAGACCTCGACCAGCGCCCGTGACAATCACTGTTCTCTTGCTGAGTGAGAACAGGCTTGATACGGGAGCATTAGCTGCTGATTGGCGAGACTCTGGGATTTCGGTTGGCAAGGTGGTATCTGGGACAAGTGATTGAGTCATGTTGATAGTGAATTAGCTTATTCGGAACCAGATACGAGTTTAATGAAGGTATCAGGGCGGACCTGTTAAACGGCAATTTAATGGCAGCAGCTATGCAATTTAAAGGTGAGCGAGCTGCGACGTATGGCATGCAAGTTTACATAGCATGTGCGAGTATGGGAGAAATTGTCATGGCTGAGGCTCCATTGGCATGGGGGCTTACCAGTCGCCGATTATTACTATTACCGTAGGCCTAGAGAAGATACGTCGTAAGTAATGGCCGTGAGGTCTCCGCCGCGACACGTTCCTGACATCCATGTATCAGACCCACATTTAAGACACACTCCATGATAAACCCCGCACCGATGGACCAGCGACTAGTGACTAGAAGAAGGAAGATTTAGCGCGGCGCTCGAAATTTCTTAATACGGACAGGCAATTGCGCATAAGATGGCCACATCGGGAGAGCCTCTGGGAACCATCACCGATTGGCGCCAATCTCGATACCCGTCACGACCCCAGTCGAAACCTAATCCCTCAACCCGAAAGCGCGGTAAGAAGCCACCATCCCCAACTTTGCCCGCAACCCAGGTAGTAGTTTCGTACCTTTCCTGGGGACCCCAGATGCTAGCTAGTAGCGTCATGGCTCAGGTGGCGAATTATTATAAAGAGATCTTACGTTCTCTTCTTAAAAAAGAAAATATATGGGGTATCAAACACCGGAGAAGGTCCTAGAACATCCATCACAATCCGCATCTTAAAGTTTACGCTGCATTGCACCTCTGTCCCTGGCATGTTACTTTTGAGAAGTTGACTTGAATTACGACACGAACCTCGAAGACAACATGTCGAAGCTTACCGGTTCCGCCCTTGATTGGGCCATCACCCTCGCGGCAGGCACGGGATTCCTGCTCTTTGGTTATGGTAAGAATCCCTCACGTCCCAGTGCGTTATTCGCTCTATGAACGCATCTAAATACCTCCTTAGATCAGGGTGTAATGAGTGGTTTGTTGACCGGCTCTGCATTCATCGCACAGTTCCCTGCCATCGACACGACTCATGGCGGCGGTGGAAGCTCCTCTTTGCAGGGGTTAGTCGTTGCCATCTACGAGATTGGATGCTTCATCGGTGCCATCATCGCCTTTGCTTTCGGTGAGCGCCTTGGGCGGCGCTGGACCATCATCCTGGGATGCGCAATTCTCATCATCGGCGCTGCTGTACAGACTGCTGCGACTGAGATCTCGCATCTGATTGCTGGACGAATTGTGGCTGGCTTAGGCAACGGCATGAATACTGCCACTATTCGTAAGTTACAACACCCGGATGATTGAGTCGGGATGTGAACAAATGACTGATTGATACATTGTAGCCGTGTGGCATTCTGAGCTCATGAAACCAACACTGCGAGGCAAAGGTCTGTCCATTGAGTTGGCCATTACCATCTTCGGTGTTATGCTTTCATACTGGGTCGGTAGGTGAAGAAATGCTTCCCTATTCTGCCGAGAACCGGTGCGTATCATTTGCAGCATGTGCTAACAAACTTCATAGACTACGGCATGAGTTACGTTGACAACGAAGCTCAATTCCGCTTCCCAATTGCATTCCAAATCATCTTCGCTCTGATTACCATGGCGATGATGTACTTCCTCCCCGAGTCACCACGTTGGGTAAGCTTCCAACGTTCTAGTTTTGATCTTGGTTAATAACGTGTCTTCTAGCTCGTCGCCCACGACCGGTCCGACGAAGCTAGCATAGTCCTGTGGAGGTTACAGAAGAATGCATCTGAAATCAATCAAGATAGCCATGTCGTCGTTGCCGAACTCCACGGTATCCAGTACGCACTTGAGGAGGAAAGGGCAGCTGCGGGAGGTACCAGCTTCCTAGCCATTTTCAAGAGTGGCCCGCAGAGATTCCGTCACCGAACCCTCCTCGGTATTGGAGGTCAGTTCATGCAGCAGCTTTCGGGTATTAACTTGATTACATATGTAAGTATTCTTGCATTTGCCTTCAAGCCAGGGTACTGATAATGTATAGTATGCTCCTGTGATCTTCGAAGTTTCCGTGGGTATTCCACATTCTACCGCCATGCTGCTCGCTGGCTTTAATGGAATTGCATACTTCTTCTCCTCGCTCATCCCCATTTGGTGCCTTGACCGTCTCGGTCGTCGTAAACTCATGCTGTTCGCCGCTTGCGGCCAATGCGTCTGCATGGCTGTACTGTCCGGAACAGTTGCTAATGGCAGCAAGCCTAGCGGGATTGTTGCTATCGTGATGCTCTTCCTCTTCAATTTCTTCTTTGCCGTTGGTTTACTCGCTATCCCATGGTTACTCCCTGCAGAGTACGCACCGCTTGCTATCCGCACCAAATCAGCGGCCCTGGCTACCGCATCAAACTGGATCTTCACCTTCCTCGTCGTTATGATCACCCCTGTTTCTATCGACAGAATTCAGTGGCGGACCTACATCTACTTTGCCGCACTAAATTTGCTTTTCATCCCAATCATCTGGTTTTTCTATCCTGAGACCAGGAACTTGTCGCTTGAACAAATCGATTTGCTTTTCACAGGAGAGAAGGTTTTGCTTCACTGGGACGCGAGCATGGGTGATCTTCGAGGATCACTCGCAAAGGAGGCACCATCTAGAGTTCTTCAAGTTTCGATAGAGGATGATAAGTCTATTGATAACGCTGCTCGCCATGTTGAATAGAGAAGATTATAGCTTAGAGTTTGAGCTTAGGAAGTGTGTATGGCTAGCCCTAAAACGAATTTGAATAATGTCCTAGCCTAACCAACCACGGCCTTTTCGTCGCCCAACATGCGCAACATAGAGCCCTTTTGTCGTATCATCAACCACCACCCACGGGCCTTCGTCGACGTTAACAGCCAGCCACCCTAGCTTGGGCGTAGACGGCGTTTCGTATCGTTGTCCATCCCTACAGCTAGCTTGTTTCTGTCATCTCACCTACCCACCCAAAGACGACAGCGAATTGCCACACTTTCATTCTCACCTCCTTCCACCACAACTTCATCCAGGTTCATCTCGGCAAGTCCTTCATAAATATGCCGCAAGGTCAATTTGTGAGGAGGTTTGTATTCGATGGTCAGCTCCATCAATTGATGCTCGGCCCCTTCCTCGCCACCGGATACGTTATAAACGCAAAATTAATTAGTGCGCGGGCGGGAAGATCTCGTTTCAGAATCTGACGACTTAGAAGCTGCAGTTCGCTCCGTCTAGTTTCCATAGGCTTGAAAGCGTTCCGTGTTAGGTTCGACTGGACAGAGAACCACGACTCTGGACCGATGATGGCTTGGCCCCTTGTAGGCCTCGCTTCGGGGGGTTATCGGTGCTGCGGCTGCGCGTCGGTCACGAGAAGGTAGTCAGGCAAGAGTGCGCTAGGTGGCCGGGATTTTGAATATGAGTCTGTAGTAATCACCTGTATTATTCAAGCTAATCTTTGCCCCCTCAATACGAGGGTGCAGGCTCTGACTATATACTACCTAGCGCTCAGCCAGCCTGTAAAGGCGTAGGCCCAGGGTCACGCTGGAGTTCAGGGAACCAGATCAGAAGGCAGGAAGATGAGGTTATCTAGCGTAACAATAGGTCTACCTGAATACAGCGACTATTGACTGGAGTCCTCAACTGAGGCTCCAGCCCCTGATATCCCCCTATCCCGTGAGCCCTAATAACCGGGCTATACCCGAATGACAGCTCCACCGTAGGGCTGCCTTCGACGTGGCACCTCACGTGCCATCACGTGAGGGCCGCCTTACACAGCCTGAGCTTCTTACCCCGTGTTCGGTGCCTTCCGGTTGGGCTCCCTCGTTACCCGTGACACGGGGGCACATCGCCTTGACTCGGATGGCATGGCGCTCGCCTGGTGCCAAGCCTCGCGCTCTCTCACGAACTCACCCGTGACAGCGGGTGCTGGGTCAAATTCATGCGAACGAAAAGATGCACAGCCGCTCGGGAACTCACTGGAGAGCCAGCGGCGGCAACGACCATTATGTGGACTTCCAAAACGATGAGGGATATTGCGGACGAGCTCTTTATTCTAGAACACCTACCCAGCCATCCTCGACTGTTGGTTAAGCGCGGTGCCTACTGCAAGCGAGGTGATACCTGGTTTTCGATTGTTGTGGAAGATCTTCGGGTATTTCAAGACGGGGATAAAAGGACGATTATAGATAATAATATTTAGCTCCAAGTGCCGTGTTTCGTGGTTGAAAGTGAGCGGAATAACTCCTGGTCTTGTGAAGCGAGCAGCCGTCCTGCAGCATAGTACTGTGTTTGGAAAGCCTGGCTAATCTCAGGATCGAGAATGACATATGCATTCCCTTAGTCTCCCAGCCAGACATCAACTGGACGGGCGACTGACGTTCCATGGGAGCTAATGGTGATGAATCTCCTAGTTGCGCTGTGATGCAAGCGGTGGAACGTAAGGTTTCTGATAGATTGAGTAAAGATTCACCGATGGAGGACAAAGGCCATAATGATATCAATATTAGTGAGTAAAAGGAGTTGGCATGTCCGTGAGTGGTTTTAAGGTCGTTGGTTTGGAGATTTGGTTCCTTCTGCAAATCTCTAAAAAAATCTCGTGAGCTTCAAGTAGTCACCGCTCCGTACATTCTGCCATCATCTTAGCCTCTTGTGGTTTTGATGTTGCACCTCACACTTTCGGGCATCAACAGAGTCATGACTCACAAATGGGAAATTACCTTCAAACTTAATATGGTATGTAAGCTAAGACGGTCAAACTTCAGAGTTGATACGAAAATGACGCCAAACTGACACGAAATGTTGCTTCGCCTCACTCACCCACTCACCCTGTGTAAGGCGGCCTATTACGTGAGGCCACCCTAAACTCAGGGGCTGCTCGGCAGTAGAGCCACTAGGGCTCGGTAAGCTAGGGTATGAGGGAACGTAGGATATAAGGAGCTGGAGGCCTTAGAAGGAGGCCTTTAGCCGATAGTCGATATACGTACGTAGACCTACAGTGCTTACAGAATACCATACCTTCCTGCCTTCTAACCTGATTCTCTAGACTCCCGTAAGACCTAAGGGGCTACGCTTTACAATTCTATTAGCTCAACCTATATCTAGCCTACTAGTTCAGAATGGCTAGCTAGGAAAGAAGGATCACCTAGGCGACCTTAGGAGGAGTAACGCTAAGTATAGAGGCTGTTAAGCTAGACTTAAGGCCTACTACTATAGAAGTTAACCACTCTATAACAGGTAAGCCCTAGGATATAGCCTTAAAGCTAGCTAACCTTTAGAAAAAGATAGACGAAGAGAGGGCCTAGATTAATACTATAGAAGAAGCTATATAGCTATTCTAATAGTTATATAGTAAAGACTATAGCTCCTACCCTAAGGAAGTAAGGGCTTTTATAGAGAAGTAAGCCTAGATCTAAGAAGAAAGTTGTTAGAAAAGGCAATACTAAGAGATTAAAGAAGAATAGGTAAGACCCTAAATAGAGGATAACTATAAGACTACCTCTACTATATCTAAAGAGGTAATGCTAGCCTATAGGCTAATAGGTAGGGTTAAGGAACCTAAGGTATATAAGGGTAATTCTACCTAGAAACTTAATAAGTTCATAGCCTCTCTCTATGCTATTTTCTACTACTAACTATATATAAGGACATAGGGTACTATATTATAAGAAGTAGTATATAGGAGTATAAGTTAGATAGAAGTTAGTATAATCCTATAGGTCTACTATAAAAGATATAAAAAAGATAAAGGGTGAACCCTTAGTTTCTATTCCTTTAAATACTAAAACGCCTCTATCTTAGCTAACTCTCTATTTACCTAAGGCTTCCTTATACTATATACTTAAGGCTTATAGTTATAATTAAACTATAATAGCCCTAAGGCTTTAAGGGTAGTATATAATAACTATAACTAATCAATGGGGGGATTGTAGCTCTATAGCCACGCCTCCTTCTTCGACTCAGATTTCCTCATCGACCTCATTGTCCTCAGTAACAGCATCTAGCGGTTCATCGACTACACCGCCAACAACCACAACAAGCCGACCAACGTCCACCTCCGCATCATCGACAACCAGTAGCTCTACAATCACAGGCGTGGCTGCTCTACCTTCTTGTGGCCAACTCTGTTTCAACAATATGCTTGCTCAATACACAGACTTTGGATGTACAAGCCCTGATCCATACTGCATTTTCAACAATGTCAATTTCGGCTATGGCCTTCGTGATTGTTCTAATGGTGCTTGCGGCACTGATGTCGCGAGTACTGTTATAACCTTTGGGAGCGCATACTGCTCCGCTGCTTCTGCTACCCACACGGGAACAGTAACAACTACGGGAGTGGCTGCTCTACCTTCCTGTGGCCAACTCTGCTTCAATAATATGCTTGCTCAATACTCGGCTTTAGGATGTACCAGTCCTGATCCAAAGTGCGTTTGCAGCAATGTCAACTTTGGCTATGGTCTTCGTGATTGCTCTAATGGTGCTTGCGGTACTGATGTCGCGAGCACTGTTATAGCCTTCGGGAGCTCGTACTGTGGGTCTGCGACTGCCTCGCAAACTGTTTCTCCTACGTCGACTGCTTGTCAGGTCGTTTCGGGATTGGCCAGCCCAGTGCCTTCGGGTGCGATTTGTGGATCGAAGGGGACCTCATTTGCCGCCACAGGCGCCGGAACTATTATTGGGTATAGTGCTGGCAGCAGCTATGTTGGAAGTCTTGCTGCCTGTAGCGCACAGTGCTTGGCAACATCGTGCTGTACAAATATCTATTTCATCCAAGGCCAATCTTGCAACTTGCACTATGGATCAGACGGTTTCCATGCCATTGGAAATCCCCTATATGATTTCTATGATGCCGCATGTTTCACATGTGGGAAGTTAAGCTGCAATACATAGGTTATATATGTCACTGCATTTCGAGTTGAAAAATTAACTTGTTATGACATTTGAGGTGTTGGCTTTCTAATTTTTAACTTGCAAACGAAGACATTCTTGAGTAGAGTACTATGATTGTAGATACTTCGTTTTATATGAGACGGATGAGACAAACCTCCACAGTCTACTCTTCAGATAACTCATTGGGTATTTCTTTTACAAGACGTATGTTTTGGGATTGGCCTCTACTGTAATCGATGAAGAGATTTCGGATGTTAAAGAAATGCGAGTATTAAAAAACTAGCTTGAACATCGAGACATAGCCGCAAGGTTCTACAAACGTTTTGGTTTGTAAGGCTACATATACCAGCATTTGACAAATCGAAAACTATATCTAGTATATTCTTCAGCCAGGGGAAGAAAATTGTGTTGCGCTAGTTAATAACTACATGCTCCAGTGGAGTACAATCAACAAGTAGTTCCGTCACCGGTGGCACAGGCTGGTCTAGTACACCTTTAGCATTCACTATGTCTTCCTTCATGTTCATGAGCCAAGGGTGCAATGCTGATACATAGTCGTGAACAGTGACAAACCCCTCTCCTCCAGTAGCAGGCTTTACCACCAATTTCACATCTTTCCCATGTGGTCGTATTTCGCCACAGCATATCAACAGCTGTATATTTGGATCATAGTCTTCATCCTCTTCCTCCTCCTCTTCTCTTTCTCCACCTTCTAGTCCGAGATCGGGTAGTCGCCCATACCGAGCGTTTGGCTCACCCTCACCTCCACTTGGCGAGGAGTGTTGGTCATGTTCGTCGAGCCAATCATTCTCCCAAAGGTCAAGGTCCCAGACAGATACGGTGATTGACGAAACCTTGGGCTCGTAAAGTGGCATCTTCGATACAGGGGTGCCATCGACAGTGGGCTGAACAAGTGAAATATCACTCCGAATCTCCTCGTAGGAGGGGTAAGGAGGCGCCTGTGCCTCATCTTGATGGTTGGATTGCGACGTTGCCATTTCTATGATGGGAGTCCGGGTGTGAAGCTGAGGATGGAAATGGAAGGAGTACATACAAAGGGTTGGGAGGTTTCAGGTTATTTATCTCTCATACTATCTATTATGCAGGGTAATTACCCATAAGTCAGGGATTGGTTGTTCTTCCCATCATTTAGCGAAGAGATTCGCAGAGTCGTCTTTTACCCCTGTTATTAAGCGCCAGAAGGAGCATCTACATTAGTTAACGTACTCAATAACGGCGCGCACGAGCTACGTCTGCGCCGTATAATTCGCTGTACTCGTATACCATTTTGGTTAAAGAGCCTCTCCTTCTAGGTTCATTCTGGCTTTGGCGTTTCTGTACGTTGGTCATGTTGGAATGGATTATGTCTCTTCTAATTAGAGCTATGGTTTAAAAAAATGGATAATTATCGACTATTACTAGCATTTCATTTTCATGGGGGCCTTTGACAATGTAAATTACTATTTGGAAGTCTTGTTGCGCCAAGAGAGGTAAGGTATCCCAAGCTTTGTGTAATATTGCAGTGGACATCTGGGCATCCACTGATCCTAGCCTGTGGGCCCTATGGCTGTGCCCCACGGGCCCGGCCCGCAAACAGTGTGCACTGGCCATCGCTCGGCGTGAGCTTCATCTGCGGCTGCTGTTGTGTCCCCGGACACATTGTATGCATCCGCTGCCGCCGTGATAAAAGGGAATGGGGCCAGGTGAGGGATTCACCAGCGGATGCAACTCTCTGCATTACTAATTCCATAACATTTAGTCAATCGTAGTGAGAGGCTCCTCGTCCCGAAGCAGCCTCCAACGGTTGCTTGAGTCCAACACGTCTTGGCAACCTTCAAGAGTCCAGCGCCACTTCTGCAGAAAACCAGGAGTAACTTCCCAGTTCTCCGGGCAGTGCGGTTCCCCCCATATCACAAGTCCGTTTCGACCAGCAGTGCTTTCGTTCTCGCGCTTTGACCAATCTAATGCATTCTCTGCATCATCTGTATCCGATGGACGACTAAGGTCGTAGGCGCTTGCAAAGTCGACGAGGTCGCCAATGATATCACGAGCGAGCTCAACGGGATCATACTCGGCCTTGGGTTTGATCAGGTTATCCCGCATTCTTGGGAATGGTATCAGATCGATCCATGTCGAGTGCTCGACAGTTGCTTGTAGCTGTGTTGGAAGAAGCGAGACGGGAATTCCACTTGATGCTGAGACGACTATTGCTCGGGTAGGATAACAATCCTGAATGCGTTCAATTTGTGGCTTATTCGATATATTAACCATCTTAAAATATGCCGCTGAACTCATGAGCGTAGATTTATTGCTAAAGATAGCACGTAGGACATTGAATTGTATAAGACTCAATAAGTGATCCTGTAATGGTGACAGCTTTAGGTGGAATAGCTGAGCTGCGCTCCTTATGTTGTCGCAATTCATCGTATCGAGCTCTATCTTAGTGATTGAGAAGCGATTGCCATTGCTATCGTCTTGGCTGTGATCTTGTTGGCGATTTCCCAATCGTGGGGAAGGATCCAAGGGGGTCTCGATTTGAACACAGGTATTATTGTGTTCGTCTAGGCGCCAGCACTCAATTTGATATTGATTCTGGCTGGCAGTCTTGCCTACGTCGCCTGCATCTCTCATGCGCAGCCCTGCACAGTCAGTTTCACGGCCCGAGAGGGAAGGCAGATAAGTGTGATAATTCTGGATACTTACTTCGTGCTCTCTGGTTAATCCGATTTTGTATTTTCCTCCGTTGCCCTTGAGTTTCGACTCGCTCGGTCGCCATCATCGAGTGGGTACCGAGTCTCTTAGGTGATTCAGCAACACATCCCCAAATAAAGAATGGGAGCTGATGGCCCTAGGTTTCATCGAGTCGTTGCTCGGATTAGACTTGTAGTTGAAATACAGGTTGGAACTAAGCGGCGTAAGGAGAAAATGTCATCCAAGTGCTTCAAGAATGATAAATGAGGCGGAGCTAGGGCCGGATTTAAGCAACGGGTCCGTGTGTGGTCTAACCGTAAATGGCAAAAATGTCATCAAAATGCATGACGTTGGCCTACTTTTAAGGTAAGGGTCTGTGTACGATCTAACTGTAAATGGCGAAAATGTCATTGAGATGTCTGGTGAAGGCCTACTTTTGAAGCATGCGAACTAAGTAGTAATAAGTCGGGGGTCAGCTCTATGAGATTCTCGTGTGCGGGCTTAAGTAAAGAGAAAGACTACTTATAGGGACGTTGTTTCCTCAAAGAGAGAACTTCTGCGTATTAATTCGGGCTTGATAACCGTTAAGACGCATCGTCTTATGCTCGACACCTGGGATTACGCATCTATTTCTTGACATCAAATTATCCTCGTACCTCGAAGAACCCTTTCTAATTCAGCCATGGTCACTTTATCCGCCGTCGAGGCATCCAACTCGAGAATCTCCACCGCCCTTCCTGCTGGTTTGGTGGCGGTCTTTGTCGGCGCCACGAGCGGCATTGGGGAGTATGCTCTCAAGGAATTTGCCCAACAAGCCAAGGACCCGAAGATATATCTTGTAGGCCGTTCTGAGGATGCAGCGAATCGTATCATTGCCGAGTCTAGGGACTTAAATCCCACTGGGCAGTACACATTTATTAAATCGGACATTAGTCTTCTCAAGAACGTCGACAAGGTGTGCCAACAGATCCTCGCCAAGGAAGATTCTATCAATCTTCTATTTCAGACTCAGGGTACCCTACTTATGGAAAGTAAGACACATCTATGTTATCATTGATCAATCTCTTCAAATTTTGTCAAAGCTAACTCATTTGCTTTTATTAGAAACGTCAGAAGGGCTCGCCAAGTCCTATGTCCTTCCAGTCACATCACGCATTCTCTTCACCCTCAATCTCCTGCCCGCTCTCCAGAAAGCAAATTCCCTCAAACGCGTCATCTCAGTCTTCGCAGGCGGTTTCGAAGGGCCATTCAACGACAAAGAATGGACCGAATACCCAATTAAACACCCCTTGAAATCCCGAGCTCACATAGCGTCGATGATTACCATGGCACACAATTCGATGGCACGACAGGCACCCGACGTTACCTTCATCCACAACTACCCAGCGGGTGTCAAGACAAACTTTGGCAAGGATCTTGGGAGTTGGACAATCCCAGCTAGAGCAGTGTTCGGCTTGATTGGTCCCATCTTTTTGAAGCATATTTCTTCTACGGAATGCGGAATAAGGCAGGTGTACGGCGCTACTAGCGCGAGGTTCCCGCCAGCTGAGGGTAGCGCTGCTGGTGTTCCCCTCGCGGATGGCATTCCTGTTGCTAAAGGCTCAGATGGACAGCTAGGAAGTGGTAGTTACACTATCAACTTCGACGCTGAGAATGTGTCGGATAGAGTATATGAGCACCTTGCTAAGGCAAAAGCTGATGGCGCTGAAGAGAGTTTATGGGCACATATTCTCGGAGAAATCAAAGGAATCACGGGCAAAAGTTACTAGTCTTCTCCGTTTGTGTAGACTTGGTACTTTTGTGAGCTGGCATGGGCGCCGTGGGGTAGGAAGATAGCGAAGGAGCTTCAACGATGGCGGCGATGGGGGGGGGAAGGGGTGCAGCAATAATGGACTAGGGGATGTGGCTTAGGGGAGACATATCAATAAAATCTAGCCTTTTCATCCATATAAAGAAGGAACGAAAAATGCAAAATACGGTCGTTCTTTCCCTCCTTAGTTGTTCGTTCCTTCCCTTTTTGACACCGCCGCTCCTTCCTCACTTAGTCGGTCATTCTTTCCCTCAGTAGTTGGTCGTTCCTTCCTCACTTAGTCAGTCGTTCCTTCCCCTATTGAGATATTTCAAGGGTCGTTCCTTCCCTTAATACTTGGCCGTTCCTTCCATTTTTACATAGTCGTTCCTTCCCCTCTTAGACGATCGTTCCTTCCATTCTTACATGGTCGTTCCTTCCTTTTTGACTCAGTCGCTCCTTCCTTCCTTAGTCGGTCGTCCCTTCCCTAGCGAATGCATTTTTCTTACAGTTACTATAAACGGTGCTGTTATAGTTAGTTACTAGTGATTCTGGGCATCTATTTTACTTATAGTCATTATAACTAGCGACGTTACGGACAGTCGGTCGTTCCTTCCCCTGTTGCGAATATTGCATGGGTCGTTCCTTCCTTCAACAGTTGGCCGTCGTTCCTTCCCTTTTTTACACGAGTCGTCCGTCCCTTCCTCAATTACGCCGATAAAAGATCCGGCACATCGAAAGATGATTCTGGGTGCATTCAGCAGCCCAAGCACCAAAGTCGATTTTGGGTATTGAGCTGTTTGAAGTTGGCGAGGAGATGCCATGATGTCTTAATTTCGAGAATATCAAGATGTGGTTGGTGAGAAAAGAAAGTCGGTGAGAAAAGGGGTTGGTGAGAACAGGGGCTGGTGCGGCGACAGGGAATGAAACGGTGACATGAAAATAGATGACGGCGAGAGAGGCAGATTATTTAAGAGGACAGATTGAGGAGGGGGATTATATTATTATAGGGGGGGTGGTTGAGCTGGCCGGACTGTACCTGCGTAGGCTGTGCAGGAAAACCAGGCTGCTACAGATGTCCCGGCTGGCGGAGAGGGAGAGAAGGGAGGCAAGGGGGGAAAGAGAAGCCGAGAGGATAACGTGCGTGAGTGGAGAAGATTATAGGACAGCTCCTAAGAGACAGAAAGGCGATGGTTGCTGAGAGATGAATGGGTCATGTTGAGCTTATAGCTAGATTTTCGTTGGCCTGCACTTATTCACTTTTGCTACTGAAATCAGTTTCGTAACAGTTCGTCGCTCTTTTCTTTGCTTTGAGCCAGTCCTTCCTCCCGCTGTTTTTTACACACACGACTCGTTCCTTCCCTTTTTACACAGTCGTTCCTTCCTCACTTACACGGTCGTTCGTTTCCTTAATAGCTAGTCATTCCTTCCTCATGTAGTCGGTCGTTCCTTCCCCACCTCTCTCTAAAGCCGGTCGCTCTTTCCTTCTTTGAGCTGGTCGTTCTTGCCCTATTAAAATATCTTTTGAGTCGATCCTTCTCTATTTCGCTATTTTCATAGGTCGGTCGTTCAGTTACCCATCAACAGTCTTCATCTTCATTATCTTAAACCGCTGACCAGCGAAGTATAAAAAGAGGGTGCCTCACCTCACCTATCACCCATCCCAATCCAGGTGAGCTCCAACCCTCTTTTAAACACGCCCAGTCCACTTATAACTTCACGCATCACAGAGAAGACATCGCACCGAATTAATCCCGTACCACTCATTGCATTCAATTTAATTCAATTCAAGATCAAAAAAAAGTTAATTGTTAAAACTTTCATCATTCCCTCCACTCTCACATCTTCACAATCTAAATTTTTCCCTTTTTCCATCATTCAGTCTTCAGTATTTTCCTCCAGAAGGCACAATACTTTTGCCTCCTTTCCCCTCATTATCCGAACGACCCAACTTAAGTCACCCTAGCAAGCAATCCCTCTAAGCCTGGTACGTCGACGCCGACACGTTTCCTCCACGTCCAGTCCAGTTAACGTGGATGTTAGTGTCAGCGGGGTACTTCTCATTGGCAGCCTCTGGCTTCATCTTGAAGGTGTGGGCACCGAAGTAATCACGCTGGGCCTGGAGCAGGTTGGCGGGGAGATCCTTAGTGCGGTAACCATCGAACCACGACAGCGCAGTGCTGAAGCAAGGAGTTGGGATACCGAGAAGGGCAGTCTTGGAGACGACGTCTCTCCATCCGGGCTGGGCGGTGTGGATAGCCTTGTTGAAGAAGTCGGAGAAGAGGAGGTTCTCGAGGTCTGGGTTGGTGCGGTAGGCGTCGGTGATATCCTTGAGGAAGACGGAGCGGATGATGCATCCTCCGCGCCACATGAGGGCGATGGATGGCTTGTTGAGCTTCCACTTGTACTCCTTGGCGGCCTCCTGCATGAGCATGAAGCCCTGGGCGTAGGAGATGATCTTGGAGGCGTAGAGGGCCTGCTCGAGATCGGCGAGGAACTGCTCCTTGTTGCCCTCGAACTTGGTCGAGCGGCCGACGAACTGCAGCTTCTCGGAGGCGCGGGTGCGCTCGCCCTTGATGGAGGAGAGGCAGCGGGCGAGGACGGACTCGGCGATCAGGGTGACGGGCATGCCGAGGTCGAGAGCGTTGATGGCGGTCCACTTGCCGGTTCCCTTCTGGCCGGCGGAATCGAGGATCTTCTCGAGGAGGGGCTGGCCGTCGGTCTCGTCGTTGAAGTACATGATGTCGCGGGTGATCTCGATCAGGAAGGAGTCGAGGACGCCCTTGTTCCAGGTGGTGAAAACGTCACCGATCTCCTTGTTCGACATTCCAAGAGCGCGCTTCATGATATCGTAGGCCTGCAGGGGTTAGTATTTTTTTAACTACACACAATTTGATAAACTCACCTCGCAGATCAACTGCATGTCACCGTACTCAATACCGTTGTGGACCATCTTGACGTAGTGGCCAGCACCCTCATCACCAACCCACTCGCAGCAAGGCTCGCCATCAGACTTGGCAGCAATGGACTGGAAGACGTCCTTGATGAAAGGCCACGCCTCCTCGTTACCACCGGGCATCAGCGAGGGGCCGTAGCGGGCACCCTCCTCACCACCAGAGACACCGGAGCCGACGAAGCGGATACCCTTGGTGTCGAGGTACTTTGTGCGGCGGGTGGTGTCTGGGAAATGCGAGTTGCCGCCATCAATGATGATGTCGCCCTTCTCGAGGTGGGGGAGGAGAGTCTCGATGAAGTCATCGACGGGCTTGCCGGCCATGACGAGGAGCATGATGCGGCGGGGAGACTTAAGCTTGGAGCAGAACTCCTCGATGGAGTGAGCACCGACGATTGACTTTCCTGGATGTCATTTGTCAGTCTATGCTCTCTCCGGTTGTCCGGTGCAGGTTGTGGTGGGGGTTCATTCACTCACCCTTGGCCTCGTTCTCGAGGAAGTGGTCGACCTTGCTGACGGTACGGTTGAAGGCCACAACGGTGAATCCGTTATCAGCAGCATTGAGGATCAGGTTCTGTCCCATGACAGCCAGGCCGATGAGGCCGAAATCGCCGCTGGGAATACGCGCATCCTCGCCGACATTAATGCCAGCAAGACGTGCGCTAAAGTCAGCAAAAAGAACGCAAGTCAACTTTTTGGAATCTTTGTCCTGATCTTTTTGAAGAGTGAAAGGGAACTGGAGAGAGGGGTATTTTTTTGGAGGGTATTCAGGGCGTGGGAGTGCTTTGGGATGGCATGGCAGGCAGAATTCGTTGAGCTCTGAGCCATGACGAAAGCGATAGCGGGGCAGTGAGGAGGGAGCTTTTTGTACTTACACTGGACCGCTCATGTTGAGGGATTGGAAGAGCGAAGATGTGTGGTTGGTATTTGTAGTTAGATGGAATAGAAGAGAGAGAATCCGATTCACAGAATTGGATTTCTATTTCAGAAAGGTAAAAGAAGTTTGAAGCTGTGGATGGAAGAGAGGGAGAGAGAGAGGGATGGTAGTGACGATGAGCGATGAGGGGGAATGATTGATTACTGCTTAGTGGGGCAGGGAAATAGTACGGCGACCTCGTTATTTAAGCAGAGTACTTTCTTTGGGGTGTTTGTACACTTTTCCCATATTGACCAGTAGGAGGAGGAGTCAGTCAGTCAATCAGGCAATGGAGCAGTTAATTGGCAGAAAGAAGGAATTTGTGTTTTATGCTCAATCAATTAATCAGTATAGTTTGTAGTATTTGCTGTTAGAATTGCTGGTAGAATTGGTAGAATTGTCCGTAGGATGGTCCGTGGTAGAGTCACTCAAACCGGCCCTCAGACCTCAAACGCAGCAATTGAAGTTACAGTACATAGCTGTAACTCGCCGTGTTGTCTTGTCTTTGTTTACCAGACTTATGCCACTCCATACTACTGCCATACTACTATTATCTCCATACATACTACCATACATGCCATACATACCATCCCACCAAATCCCACCACATCCCACCCTCAAACAACCATCCCAATGCATCACCAACCATCATCCCAACCATCCCACCACCCTCTAACACCCCTCATTCAGCCTCGTCAACCCCCATTAACAAAAGTCACACCACATTCCCACCGAACCCCTCCACACACAAAAAAAGGAAACACAGGTGAAGCAGGGCAGGCTTCAGAACACCGGCCTCAGGAACCCCTCACCCACCCCCCACCAAAGCAAAAAAAAAGCGTACCAAGCGCCGGCACCGGGTAAATCAAACGCGAGCAACAGCGCCGCGGCCGGCGAGATAGTACGATCCCAACAGTAGTACGGAGTACTATGGTAGACTCGTAATTTCTCCGGTGCAGAGCGCGGCGGGTATGTACATCGGAGGAGTACTGTTGCCCCTCGTAGTGGGGGTTGGTGTAGGGTTAGTGTGGCTTTTTTATCGCGCAGGAGCGAACGAACGAACGAGCGATACGGAGAGGAGAGGAGGGGGAGGGGCAATTACAATACGTACAACGGCGCAGGGTAACAGGCGGCCAGCCAGCCGTGATTTTTCTTGTTTGATTGATTGATTGACAACTTCTTATCGCACTCTTACTTAACTCGTTCACTCGTCTTATGGAAGGACTGTAGTAATACCATCTCCCCGCCATTATCAACCATTACATAGACAGACGGCCATTAGACGAATCCATTCAATGACATGCCATGCCAAACCCAAACTGCACGCTGATTACCCCAAACGCACACAGCTTACTCACCCCTCCCTTGCTCACCCTCACCTTCACCTCACCCACCTACTTCACCCCTCCCTCCCCTTCCTGCCGCCAACCCCGCCAGCCAAGACAAAAGCCCTCAACCCTCAAACCACAGTCACAGACAGTCTGGGCGGCCACCGCTCCGACGTTCCACCATCATTCCTCCTGATGTGATGCGCCAATTCCACTCATGCCATCCCATCCCATCCCATCCCATTTCTTTCTCCCTTAACACGGACTTGTACTACGGCGCGGGTTGTACGCTCGGTCTGCATCCGTCCGAGCTGACGCATAGAGTTTGAGGATGCATGATGTCACGGCACAGGTAGGCTGGTCACGTGTTTCAGTGTCACGGGACGGGTTGGAGGGGGGGTTTGATGGTGCTGGGCAGGGGGGCTGGGCAGAAAGGGAGATGTCTGTCGATTGTGGATTGTGGGGGACAAACGGGTGGATGGGTTGATGCTGTCAAAGACCAAGCTCAAGCTGTTGGATGTGTGTTCACGTGTTTCATTAACGCGTTTGTGAGGGCCAGAGCTGGGCGAGGTGGGAGGAGTCTGTCGGTTGATGGGACAAACGGGTGGACGGGTTGATGCTGTCAAAATCCAAGCTATCAGATGTCTGTTCACGTGTTTCACTAACGCGTTTGTGGCGGCCAGAGCTGGGCGAGGAGGGAGGTGTCTGGCTGTTGCTGGGACAAACGGGTGGACGGATTGATGCTGTCAAAAACCAAGCTAGCAGATGTCTGTTCACTCGTCTCACCAGCCCGTTTGTGGCGGAGGTGAGTGATGCTGTTTGTCACTGTTTCCATGCTGAGTGTGAACATACTGGTACTGTTTGTCACGCTTCAATGCTGAGTGTGTGAACAAAGGTAGTGATCCTATCTGTCACGCTTCAATGCTGACTGCGAACGAGGGCAGACTTGATGCTGTTTGTCATGACAACAGTGCTGAGTGGGAGTGCGAACAGTATCTTGAACAAAGTCCATGCTATTAACCACCAAACAACTATCGGACATCTGCATGACTCCTCACCCTCTTCCACCACAAGCCCTTCCGTTCGCTGAGAACCCTCCGTCTACAAACAACAACTCCCAAGATAATCCCCCCTCCAACTCCCACGACTCCCCAACTCCCATCACAACAGACCCCCCAGTCTACCCCAGAATCTTCAACCCCCCCTTCGTCTTCTGCCCCGCCTTCTGCACCCCCCCCTCCTTCACCCCCTGCCCCCCCTTCCCCCTATCCTTATCCCTATTATTCCTCCCCCCCCTCCCCCTCTTATTATCCCTCGGCACCACCGCCTTGATCTCCGTCGTGCTCCTCTTAATCAGCACAGGATGACTCCCAATATACTTTCCCTGCATCTCCCTCGCGGCCTGAAAAAAATCATCCCCGTCCGCAAAACTCACAAACCCAAACCCCTTACTCTTCGTCGTCCGCTTGTCGCGCACCACGCGCGCCTTCTGCACGGATGGCCACCTCGCGAAGGCTTTCAGGAGACTCTCATCCGTCACCTCGCCGGCGAGGTTGCCGACGAAGATCCGGAAGTGCGCGGGGTCCCACTCGAGTAGCGAGGAATCCGTCCACTGCGTACCACCACCCGAGCGCACAACCGTAGCTTGTTTCCCGTCTTTCCCACCCACCACAGTCGCTACGCCCGTGTCGGCGTTGACCGCGGAACTAACCTCGCGCCCGCCCAGCGGCGCGGCATTCGCACTCGTCGCGGCGCCGCTGGTGCCGCCTCCTGCGCTGGGGTTTGTGGCGTATGTCGGACGCCCTGTGGGCTGCGTGGAGGCGCTGTTGTCTTTCGAGTATGCGGACTGCCATTGTGCGATCTGCGCTTCCATCTCTGGGTCGGCTGCGGCGTCGTAGTGGCCTGCTGCGCCGGGCTGGCCGGGGAGAGGGAAGGGGTTTCTGATTTGCGGCGTGCCGTATGCGTCTTGTTGTTGTTCAGCTTGGTAGCCCTGTTGCCCGCCGTAGTTGCTGGACTGGTATGAGGAATTGTATGATGGCTGTGCGCCGTACGCTGGCGCGCTCATGGCGGGCGGCTGGACGCCGCGGGGCACGAAGCCCTGGGATTGGTAGGGCGCGGCGGCATAGTTGGAGGGCGGGTTGGCGTAGTTCGGTTTGAATGCTGCGGCGGGGACGGCGGAGGGGGGAGGGCGCGCGGGGAGAGAAGATGGTTGAGAGGTTGATTTGGAGTAGGAGCTAAGGCCTGGAGGAGGCGGGTAGGACATGATGAATGACTGTGTCTGTAGACCTTTGTGTGGTGGTTAGACGTACCTCTTGCGCCTGGGTAGGTGCAGTGGCAAATGGACCGCGCAAGGCGAAGTTTGGTGAAGCGGTGGATGGTTTGAGATGCGTGACACAGGTGAGGTGGTGTGAATCGGCGTGAGTGATGATTACGTGGTGGAGGACGTGGTGTTGTGGTCGTGACGATCTGATGGGGAAGGTGAAGCTCAAATTCCTTCAAGGTGTTTGTTGGCGCAAGGCTGAAATTTAGACTTGATGTCACGTGCTAGCACGATCGCTCCTGCCAAACACAACGTCACCTTCCTGGGACAGCATTGAGCGCGTCGAGCTTACGACTGGTGTGCAGAACTTGAATATTTTGAAATATTACTATCATGTGGGTTTCTAGAAGGATTTGATCTCCACGAATCCTATCCATCCTCTGGCCATAGCACGTTCTATAGCAAGATTTCATCTTTAATGGCACCGCGAACCACCGCGCGTCAGCAACTAAACAAGTATAGCGAGGATCTCAACAGGCAAGGAAGTTCAATTTGACTCATCGTTCCCTTTGGTCTACGCGTGTATGTGACGCGGGCTCTATTTGCTTCATAATCAAATAACTTTATATTCCATCTTCTCGATACTCAACCGTGTATAAAGCGCCTCACTTTATATCCAGCTTCCCTCTGTGATACATTACACCACCTTGTTATACATTATCGCCCATCATCTATCAATCCCAAACTCACATTCCAACCCAAACACTCACAATGGCCTCCACCACTCCCCTCACCAGCCTCCCCTTCCCCAACCCCACAAAATCATACTGGCAAACCCCTCCCCTCCCCATCTCCGACCACCGCACCACCCCCTCCCTCCCCCCCTCCACCAAATACCTAATTGTCGGCTCCGGCATCACCGGCGCCAGCATAGCTCATAAGCTCCTCCTCGCCGAGCCCTCCGCCTCCGTGGTCCTCCTCGAAGCCCGACAAGCCTCCAGCGGCGCCACGGGACGCAACGGCGGGCATTGTCGGCCGGGTGATTACTTGGAGTTCAAGAATAATTTGGATCTCATTGGCGTTGAGGAAGCTCTGCGTGTAGAGAACCTCGAGGAGACGAATGTGCGCGCTGTAGCGGCGTTGGTGGACGAACATAGTATCGATTGTGATTTTAGGGCGCGAGAGTCGTTGGATGTGTTTGTGGATCCGAAGCAGTGGGAGGCGGCGCTGGCGGCATTAAAGGCGCGTGAAGAGGTCGGTGTGCCAGGATTGAGAGAGCACAAGGTTTGGAGTGAGAAGGAGACGAGAGAGGAACTTTTGTTTCCTGATGGAGTTGGTGCGATTTCTTACCTGGCATACATACTCTCGCCGTATAAGCTTGTGTGCGCGCTGCTGGAGATTAGTCTTAAGAAGGGGATGAATCTCCAGACGAACACAGCGGCTCTTGAGGTCTCGCAAGATCCAAACTCGAAGCTGTGGACGGTTCGAACGGATCGTGGTGAGATCAAGGCCGAGAAGGTCATCCTGGCTACGAATGCGTATACAGCGGCCCTGTATCCCCCGCTAGCAGATTTCATTAAGCCCGCAAGAGGCCAGATGGCTACCGTGCGCCCTGGGTCGAAGATAGAAGGTAACCCGGCTCTCAGGCGGACTGCCGCAATCCATACTACTGAGGGTTACCCCTATTTCCAGTCCCGAGCCGACGGTGTCTCTGGTGATGGAGATCTCATATTTGGTAAGTGTGCCCCTTAGCGCTCTGGATGGATACGTCCACTAACAGGACCTAAAGGCGTCGGCAGCTGGCATGGAAAGGTTGGGATTCAGAGGACCTTTGATGACACCACGCTCCATCCTGAGATATCGGAGTATCTGACCAATGCAGCGACGAATTTATTCGGCGAGGAGACTTGGGGTGAGAAGGGTGCGGTGCTGCAGGAGTGGACGGGGATTATGGGGACGACTACTGATCATCATCCTTTGGTCGGTGAGGCACCTGGAAAGGAGGGGCTTTGGATTTGTGCGGGGTTTAATGGACATGGTGAGTTGGTTGACTGTTTTATGGGAGTTTTTAACTGACGTATCCAGGCATGGGACTCGCATTTCAGTCTGCGGAGGCGCTGGTTGGACTTGTCACGGGCAGGGAGAAGGAGGTTGATGAGTGGCTGCCAAAATGTTATAGGCTGTCCCGGGCGCTTTAGAGACTTTGATGGAGTTATATGCAGATGTACGCCGGATTTAGAGATCATGCGTCTAATGAAAGATCTAACACGGCCGCCTAAGCTGGATGCCGCCAAATGAACAATGCTCGCTTGTGCGTCATATTGGTACAATTTTATTTTGAGGGGTTGAAGATATATAAATTGTTTTAAAATCCCAGCTATTTTGGAATTTCATTTTTATTTCATATAATCTTTTTAAATTAATCAACTCTACATCCCTTAACCTACCCATACCAACTACGACTGAAAATTTACCACTAAACCATATAAGTTTATGTAATTAAAGTCCTCTTTAAGAAATCTCAATATCCTGTTCGGTAGAAATACTGTCCCCATGGTTGTCGTGGATCCATAATATCATACTAGTAAACCCTGCGAGAAAAGCCATCGGCTTCCACCATACTGTAATCCATCGCGCCCAACTAGACACCTATGGGGCAAAGGACATCTGGAAGCAATAGAGATGTTATATACACTCGTCAAAATTAAGCTTGAGCTTGTCCTGGATAAATTTGGAGGCTAGCCAGCCGCCGGTAGCATCCTGATATTGACCACGTGACATATACGCTAAAAGTTGATCCGTGCATTTGAAGTTGAAGTTGTCGCGAAACCTCGAGCCTCGCGTCTGGGGCAAGTTATCGACAATCGTTGACAATCGTTCACAATCGCGCCCGCTTTATCCCACGATTGTTATTATCCAAGCCCATTTAATTAGAATCAACAGGCTCCCACAATTAAGCATCTACCGAATTGATTTGCCGCGATGCAGAATCCGGCCCAGGGGATCGCTCCTGAGCTCGTAAGTCCCCTTTGCCAATCAACTTACTTCACTCCCATCACCATCCTCCCGTGGCTGAACCATGTGGCTGATATATTCCACAGCTCCCCCATGTCCACTGTCTCTCCGTCTATCGTTTTCCGACACTCCAAACGGTTCACCAGAGCAAGATCGCCGACTGGCTGCTTTCCGCGCCCAAGATTGCTAACTCGAGCGCACCATTCTACTGGACATATCTGGAGCGCCCTCAGGATGGACTGATCCTCTTGACGTGGCAGCCGGAGGCACAGGCGGGGACCAACTTCGCAAGCGATGGTTACATTTGGGCGGGGGCCGAGACGGTTTATGCGATGCCCGTGGATAACTTTGTATGTTGCCCTCTACAGCATTTACTTGCGAGTACTAACAGCTTTAGGTGCTCGAGATATATCAGCACAAGGCAGGATTTGCGCCTGGCGATGCGGTCGCGACACATGCTAGAAGACGATACAGACTAGTCCCTGGGAAATTCCCAAACCCAGGCGGCCCAGCACCAGACCCAAGTCTCTGGGTTACACATTACTACCCAGCCAGCCCTGGAGACCGTGTGCCTACCAATGTCATCCCCACCGACATGCGCATCCAGTCTATGATGCAGACGCGCGCCTATCTCCAGAGCCAGGGACAGATCCAGCAGAAGGAGTTCATGCTCCACGACCGCAGCAAGTGGCCGCAGATCCAGTTCCCAGGCAGGGCACCACAGCGAGCACCTGCGTACTTCAGCCCTATGCAGACACGCACGCCGCAGCAGATGGCATACCCGGCTCAGCACATGACGCCAGGGCCAGCACCAAAGCGCGCGCGCACCCAGCCAAACCAGCAGCATGCGGCTGCTCAGGCTGCGCCTGTGGAGATGATGGATGATGAGGAGGATACGTCCCGAGGTGATATGTTTGATCATATGACACCAAGGGAAGTGAGCCAGAGCAGGTACATCCAGAACCACGAGTGGATGGAGGAGGTTATCAACTCGCCCATCCCCATCCACCATCTTGTGCCCGTGGACCTTGGCCTCGGCCTTGGCGGCGAGTTGAAGAAGGTCACCAATGGCATCTTCGAGACATACAACTCTGCAAAGTATATTGAGGAAGGAAAAGGCGGCGAGAACGAGTACATTGGTCGTCTAGATCCCGGCAAGGCGGATGAATTTAGAAAGAGGGCCGCTGAGAAGATTGAGGCAGACAACAAGGAGATTGAGAAGCTCAAGAGACGTCACGCGAGGCGTATGGCAAAGCTCGCCAAGAACGGCACTGTAACTGAAGCCGAGAAGGCCCTACGAACCGCCGTTAACGACCCATCTGACGTCGGCACCGAGTACTGGCGTCTCGAGGGCAAGCTCCCCTCCAACGACGACTCCGACTCTGAAGAGCCCGCCCCCGCGCTCTCCACAGCCGCAAAAGTCGACAACATCGTCGCACAGCTCGAAGCCTCCCTCGGACTCCACACCGCAGCTGTCAAAGAGCTCCGCCGCCTCCACGACGGCGGTCTCCAAGAGCGCCAGCCATCCCCCGAACCCGCGCCCTACGTCCCCAGCGAGGTCGCTTCGCCACAAGCCCCTAGCCCACGCAGCGCGCACAGCAGCCTCCTCGCCGCGGACCACGAGCTGGATATGGGATCCGCGGCCGGTCTGCTGGATCAATTCCACACCGGCTTTAGCGCCGCTACCACGCCCGGGAATAGCTACACACCGCATCACATCCAGGGGTTGTCGACTGTGAACTCCTCCGCCCCTAGTCCGGCGCAGCAGCAGCCGGATGTGGAGATGGGCGGCACGGCACAGGAGGCAGAGAAGTCTGAGGCGGGCGACTGGGTCGTCGTGCCCCCAGGCGGCGTGTCGCCGACGGGGGTTGCACCACCAGTTGCCCAGGCACAGAGCCAGGCTCCTACCCCTGTCCCTGTTCCTGCGCCATCTGCACCTGCACCGGCTGGGGAACAAACCTACGCTCCCCAAAGCGCCCCCCAATCAGCGGCAGCTACGCCTACAGCACCCGCACTCGCTCCACCAGCTGCTACTGGAGGCGCGCAGGTGGGCACGCCCGCCGCGCTGGGGGTGACAGCTGCTTCTACGCCGAGGGTTAGTGAGGCGGCTGAGCCGGTGGATTTCTCGGGTCTAGATGATCTGGATACGGCTGGGGAGCTCGGGGAGTTTGAGGAGATGGAGGGAGGGATGGATTTGGTTGATGACAGCGCGTTTGGGGAGGCGTTTCATGGGGTTGAGGGTGGGCAGGAGGAGGGTCAGGGGGAGGGGGGTGGGATGTAATACTCTAAAGGGGGTTTATAGGGTTCATGGCTAGGTGGTGGTTTTGGAATGGTGGTGCTGTAGGCTTGGCTAGGAGATTGTAACTTTTATATCTAGATGCTTGAAAGGAGGTTTGCAAACTTAGGGGGGGTAGAATGAGAGCACTCTGTATACCATCGAAAAGCTATTCACGTCCACGGCGTCATATCATAAGGGCTCACGCGTGTTCCATGTTTATTCCAAGCCACCAAACAAACACGAAGCCCTGCATACAAAAACGCGCACCCTTCCCACCGTTTTCAGGAAAAGCATGATCTATATCGTCCCTGCCTTCCCAAACGCGTGATCTATATCGTCCCTGTTCCTGCAAAAACGCGAAGCCCTTAACCTCCCAACCCGTCGAAAAACACGTGCCGTGCGGCCGCATTCAGCGGATTGTCTCACCCGATAAGCAGGATAACGCCGGAAGCAGCGCGGGAGGGCCATTCCACGTCTCACGTACCCGTCTGACGGCGTGGAATCACCACCCTTCCCCTTGGAAAATGTCACGAGCAAGCCGGAAACTGTTAGGAAGGGGACTGCGACGCATATCAGGAGACCTTGAATTGAGGGAAATGGAATCGTGAGAATTTTAAAGGGTCCCGTCGAAGCATTCGCCCTATGCACGCCACAGCTGCATGCGAAGGAAATGCATGAAACATGTGCATCGTATATCTGCCGCAAGCAGGCGCTGTCCCAAGGTTACATTCATTTTCGCCCACCACCCAGATTGCGGCGGATAGAGTACATAGCTTGTAATCGCAATCGGGTCACGCAGCAGTCTACTGCGGGCGCTGGAGGCTGCAGCAGCCCGAAGGAGCGAGAGTGGATGCGACGTGGTTGCCGTGCTGTTGCGCTGCAGAGGCTGCAGATCGAGGATGCTATGGCAACGAGGGTGGGAATTCGGACCGCTGCGGCCAGGCTGGGTGTGTGGCGGCGTGCGGATCGACGCGAGGGAAGAGAGTGGAGGTTTGACTTTTGACTTACAGTAATCGCATGCTCTGCGACAGTCCCGTTTACTCGGAGAGGGTCGCGCGGGGGCCTCTGAGACCGGGCTGATTTGGAAGGTGAGAGAGAGGGGAGAGCTCCAAATCGAACAGGTCGCCTACCGCGGTCTCGGAGTTAATTAATCGTTGGAACCTTTTTGGGTGGTTTAAGGTGGTTCAAAGTCCCGTGATTGCGCGAGATTTGGCGACTGGGCGCGACTGAGACTTACCCCTGCAATGTTTTGTTTACATTTTTCGTGACACGTCTAACCGAGGGTGAGCAACTTCTTTTACTGCCCGCGCGTGGCCACAGCAGGGCCGCTGGCAGCAGCAGCGACGGTGGCACAGCGGCTCTATTGAAATAGTGCAACACAGGGAATACAGCGGTGAGCAGGCATGTTTCGATTTCCCCTCACTTATCGGGGTTTGATCATCGTCCTGGGTGGTGGGAGTCACGGCGCGTCGGTTGGAGGGGTTGTGGTGGTCCGGGTAAATATTGGCAGTTCAGGAAGCTGTGTCTAAATCAGGGAGGGTAAGCGGTTGCTTGGACGTGACGCAGCTCGCCATTGGTGTTTGGCACGGATGACGAGACGAGCTACTCCGTAAGCCGCATGTCTTGCGGTTCGTGGCGCAAAATGGGCAATGCTGGCATTGCTGGATGTGTCTCACTTACGGGAGAAAAAGCGGGCGCGACGGCGATGGTGTATAGATGGGAAAAGGAAAAGGAAGCTCGAAAGGGCGCTGTCCCTTCGAGGCGCCACGCGCTGTCCGGTTTCGTCGAGAATCGTCGCAGGGACGGAGCTGGGCTCGATTGAATCATGCGAGAACCCCAGTGTAGTATTTGCATCCTAGGCCGAAAGAAACTAAATTCCAAGATTCGCGTTAGAGCCAGATCCCACTCGAGGGCTGATCGGCGCTTAGTCCATTGGCAATGTGGCATGACGCGAAATGATCGTTCTGGGTGGTCTCTGCTCATCTCAGAAACCAACAGGCGTCAGATGCACATGGTGTTGATCGATTGGGAGAGAGATGTTTGGGAAGCGCGGGCTGCGAATTGGCGTTCCTCACGATCCTCCACTATCAGCCCATTCGGAGTATTATTTCAGTTAGCAATATTATAACCGCTTGTGGACGGAATCTCGGGGGTGTTGATCACATCAGCAATCTATTTTGCCCAAAGAAGACGGGCAAATCACAGCTCTGGAACAGGTTTGTAGCTTTGCAACCTCTGAGCTTGAGCATGGGGCAGTTCCATGGGGCAGTTCCATAAGGCTTATCAGCGCACTCCATAGAGCAGCTCATTCCGGGACATTGTTTCGTCTGGCCCATGGAATACCCCATGATTGTAACTCTATTCTTGTAGACAGAACCCGGTGGGCATCAAAGCGTTGAAACATGAGAAGTAAGACCATCGTGGAGCGCATGATGGGAACTCTTGGGTCTTGGGGGTCTCAGAGCTGCGTTCGTTCAATCTCAACGGGCCAGTGCGTTGCAGGCCCTCAGAGATCTTTTTGATGGGGCGAATATGGGGAAGATGCAAACGCGATGGAACAGATTAATTTCGATTTTGAAGTTCTTGTGGTCATGGAGAGCAGTACAGTTGTGTATGTACTCGTTGTAGCATACGGCACAGACAGACAAGACGGACAGACAGTCAGCCAAGATCGGAGAGTAGTTTCATCGGAGAGGCCGTTGCTGATGATGTCGTACGTACCCCAAGCTACGCACTCCAGCTACTGCAGCAGAGTAGAGTAGAGCGTATAGAGTATAGAGTATAGTCTGTACTGCACTGTACACTGTTTAGTATGTCACCACGTTTCTTGGCCGTACAAGGCTGTGATTCCCTTTCCGATTCCCCTCCCGATTCCCCTTAGCAACGGCGCCTCATGGTTCCATCGCTCCATCGATCCATCGATCCACGTTTGTTCACTTTTGTGAAGACAGAAGGAGTCTGGAGAGTACATCGAAATGTCCGGGTGCCCACCAAACAGCCAGTCAGACGTGATAACAACAGACCAAGTGGGTTTTTGCTGGGAGAGAAAGACAGGCGGCGCTTAAAGAAGCTAAGGTACAGGCGGCGGCGGTGCATTTTTCAGCTGAGCAACGAAGATAAAATCGACGACGACGAGGGCGCTAGAGTGGTATAGTAGTAGTTTAGTGAGAGAGTGTGAGTCTGTGAGTGGTGAGTGCCCTGTAACATGCCCTGTGATGCCCTGTACAATTGCCCTGTATGAGACGCTGAGACGCTGTAAAATGCTCTGTGCATGTATACAATATGCACGTATGCATGTTATGTACTTGTGCAGCGATCTCCAGCTGGGAAACATGGTTGGTTGTGGTCACGCTGATGTACCCCTGGTCTAGTTATCCTAGCATAATGCATGGCACAATCATATGAATTCCTACCAATCCATTCACACAGGTACTCACCCACTACCTTCCTTCCATTCCCATCCCCAACCCACGCTAGAGTAAGAGTACCTCAGCCTTTGATGCAACTTTGATGCAAGGAAGTACCCTAGACCGAATAATTGCCCTGACAACACAAACTCGACAGGGACAGGCACCGTCGCCGACTTCCTGTCGTCCAGTGCCAGTCCTTTGTTCGCTGCATCCTTACCCACTCCTCTCGTCGACTTGGAGACGGACGGCCGACCTGGTCCCATTCAAAACTCCTCCGTCTCCTCACCTCAATCCTTCCCTTTCCCTTTCCCTCTCTTCTTTCCACCGCCAGCCAGTCCTCGTCAACCTCTCAATCGACGACGAAGGATACCACTTCGAAGGTCTCCTCCCAACCTTCCTAGTGGGAACTTCAATATCGACGACGACAATCACCGACCGACAAGACCGACCGACAGCGAGGACCATCAAATTCGACAAAAGACCACCCACCGGACCGACCGTCAGAACGACCCCGTACATCAACCACCACGACCAATTCCTACGATATACGACCCCGAAACCCGTCCCCGACCTTCCCCACAGTTATCCAGCTCAACGACCTACCCACAAGCATCAATCAATGTCTGAGACGTTGATTCAATAATAAAATATAGCTTCGTCCATACCTCCACCCGGCCTGGCATTCTATATAACTACAGGATACGTCGAACGTACCTTGGCATTGCATCTCTTGCTCCTGTCCTGCACTTTTTCCTACGCAGCGTTCATAGTTAATTGGCTTGTAACGATTACATTCGTCTGTCGTCAGAACATTCGAATAACGCCCATATACTACTTCTCCATATATATTGCAATCCGGCCCCGACACAATTGTGGGAGCCGTGTTACAATTTGCTGCCATCATGGAAGCCTCCTCACCTTTGGCTGCAATGCAGCCTCCCTCCCTCATGCCATGGAACTGCAGAGACATGTACAGCCGTGGCAATTCCAATCTGTCGGCAACCAATAGCTTTGGTCCAGGAGCATTCAATTTTAGAGATCTGAGCATGAAGAGGCCTACCCCGGAGTACTTCTCCCTGAAGACCATTCGAGGCTCCTCCCCTACGACCAGCCTGGCAGCCGATTTGTCCCAGAACTTTCATATTGATATGAGGCATGTTCAATTCTATACACCCAGGCGTATCTGTGCTAACCGTTTCCCAGCCCTCAGCTGCCAACTCCCCGTCGGTCTCTGTTCACAGCAAACATCTTTGGTACACTGGATAGCCGTGGTAAGATAGGTCCGTGAGACAGTATGGGGAAGCTGCTAACAACTAGCAGAGAGCGTTACCACGCCCCCACTGCAATCGTCGTCTCCGGGGCCATTCTACGAATCTATGGACGTGTCTCCGTTGCCTCATAAAGCTCCTTACTCAGTCCAGATCGAGGCCCAGTCTCCATGCCCACCTCAGACAAACGAACATGAGATGACCCTTCGATCGTCTCCCCCGCGTCCGAATGTAGCAGAGCTTCCCAAGCCAGCTCCGTTCATGCCCGAGTAAGTTCTCATCTCATACATCCACGGTGCAAGTTTCTGATCATTGTTATAGGAGG